TGCCAATCCCCACATGAGGTGTTCGTTAGTTCATGCCAATGTGCTTGATTACCTGCCACACTATTGATTGGGGTGAGAGCGACTACACCTTCAACTGCGTGTCTGACCCTCGGTGAACAAATGCTGTCGTTGATGCTGAAATTTGGCACCGCTCGCATAAACCACACGCCAGAGTGCCCTCGTGAATTTGGGTACAACTATACAGGTCACTGGTAAGAATGGATTGCCGACCGCATGCGACACGTCTAACAACAACCTGAACCCTGGAGTGGTCGCTCTACCAAGTAGTCGAGATCCAGCGTGAATTTTCGCACCGAAAAGCGCATCGAATGTTTTGTTTCGTCATGTTGAACATAGCAAGCTGCGAATAGTCACTTAGACTTAAGACTTAGGCTGCAATGGCAAGGGGAGCCAGAATCGGTATACGGGTCTGTCTTTATTTAGGGGACCCCAAAATTGTGGTTTTCCAGGTGGCGCTCCTTTAAAACGACCGGGTACCCCCCAAAGAAGACAAACCCATGTAGGTTCTCATGGAAGTTGAGTTCTGTTTCCGGGCGATTCTCTGAACCTCAGCGTATGGTGAGCCCAATTTGACTCCATCCACCTGCAAACTGTCCCTCAGGTGCCCAGTGGCCATGGGAAAAAAGGGCATCCTTTTGTGGCTGGGTGAGTTTAAAAGGGAACCCTTCCCAAAAAAAAACGGGAGGAAAAAAAGGGGCGGAATCCACTGGGCAACTGGGGTCCGAATCCAAAACCTGAAACAAGGGATCCCCGCTGACCTGCTTTAGACCTGAGCTCGCAGCAAAAAACACATCTCGAGCCAAACGCCGCTCGACCGCGTCGAGCCACCCGGCAACCGGCAAGTCCGCTCAGCCACTCAGGTCGCTTCGTCCGGGAGCAGGGCCTTCCGTAAGTCAGCCAGCTCCTGCCAGACGTCTAGCCCGCCAGAAGGGGAAGCTCCCTTTCTTCGGGGAGAAGTGCGTAAGAAGTTAAACGGGGGATATGTAGGCTTGTCTCCAAACTTTCTGGTGCTTAGTAGGGAATGAGGGAATGCGTGGGGGTCCCTGTAAAGAAAACCACAAGGGATGGTTTATAGGGGTCATTCCCTCATTCCCGGACCAGCAAGAAAACCCGACATGGAAACTCGATCCCTTCCAATTTGGCCTTTCCAACAGGTACAGTCGGTTTCTCTTAAGATATGATACGGAGGCCCCGGAGGGCACGTAGATGTCACACTGGGGGCAATTTTCGTATTAGGCCTGGCACCTTTAGGCTGGCCGTCCGAGTCTGCTGACAAGTTCCAACCACCTGGCATCCGGAAAAAGAATAGAATGTGGGAGCAACGGCGGCCTTTTTTCGGGGCAATCAGTGAAAAAGAAAAGCGTGACTAATGGGCACTAGTGACTGGTGGCAATTTTGCGGGGCCATCGAATCGGATGTTCTGACCTTCCCATGGCTCGATTGCCTTCCCGGATTCCCTCGAAACCGCTGGGGAGCCCAGGCGAAACACTGAACCAAAGACGCCAGGTCGTGAACCCGACGGGCCCTATGTGTTTCAACGGGAAAAGGGGCACGGTGGTGTGAAAGCAAAGGCCGTGGGAGTCCCAAAGCCAGTCAAGCCAGTGGTGTCAAATGCCGCCGTTTTCTCGATGGAGTCCTGAAACAACAAGAAAAGGTATCCGTGACCAAGTTTGGGGGCCAGACATGTTTCCAAGTCCACTGATTCAGAGCCGCCAGCGGATGACCTTGTTGCCCCTTTGCCCTCAATGGGCACATGGAAGACTTCTGGCCCTCGTCACATATTCAGTCGGGGACTGGGATGGATGACTTGGGCCGCATATTCAGTCATGCTCATCTGACAGGTGAAATGATGTCCCAACCCATTCTATTCACCCGAGGTTGCTGGGCTACTTGGCTTGTGTAAAGGAGCTTGGCCGAGGTGTGGTTGTTGATTTGTTTTCCCAAGGAGTTTGCACAGACAAGAAACAAATGCCGCTGGCCCGAAAGAATGCAGCCACTGACAGGTCGGTCCTCAAAATTATATGAAAATGGGCATCCGGACCCTGCTCTTTTGACCACACATGCAAGATATTGATCTGGGTGTGTCTCAAAATCCGGGCTCCCACTGTTTGGTTTCCTTTGGTTCCTTTTGCACCGTCCAAAAGGGGTTCCCTTCAAGACCAGTGGAAGGGGGCCAAAGGTAGGCAGAGGTCAGGCGGAAGCTCCAACCTTGATCTGGCTCTGGTGTACCCGCTTCATCTCACGCGCCAGTAAGATCAAATCGGAGGACCTCAGCTTGGTTTTGTGAGACCCCAGCAAACCAAAAACCCTCTACTTCCCCAAGCCGGAAAGACAAATGTGTCTATGTTCAGTAATGATAGATTCTGTTCAAAACCGACAGGGGGGAAATCTTAAGCGAGTAGAAGAAACTCACGTGCTGACCAGATTGGTCAGAATCACTAAACTGCATGGTCTTTCCAACAAGTATCAAGTCCAAGAAATGACACAGAGAAGCAAGCAACAGAACTGGGAGCAGGTCTCTGCTGTATTCCGAGCCCAAGAAGAAACCAACAAACCTCCCATGGCGTTTGCTTCAGCAATCTCTCCAAGCTTGATTGGTCGCGGACTTGAGACCTGGGCGGTTGCCATGGTCTAGCAAGCCGTTTGGAGCGCCGTGAGAAGACGGCCGTTGCACCAAGCAAACTGCGAAGATGCAACCGCTACAAAACAAATGTCATCTTCCACACCCGGCCCAGTCAGCTGGCTGGTGTTTATCTGGATGATGTCCTACACCGCATCCGTCTCTGAACGGCCTAGTTGCACCTACGAAATGCAACTGCAACAGCACCATGGGAGGTACCCTGATGAGAACCCAGGTCGACTGGTTGATGAGTGGATGTCCATTTTCAGGGGTCCATATGGGAGCCACCGATTCGGTCTACTTAACTCCTGCTCCGAAAGGCTCCCTCTGAGGGTAACTTGGATAAAGCTTGGTTCCATTCCAAATCAACTAGTATATTCCCTTCACAGGTTCACTAGGAGTTTCTTACCTGTCAAGCCCCTCCCGGGGTTGGCGCTTTTGGCAAGCAACTTGGCAGCCCCATTCAGCCGAAGTGAACCCTCCACGAACTCGACAAAGTTGATCTGCGAGCGTGCTGCTAGAGACACGAGTTGGGTGTGCTTCCCCGCCGATTCGTTGGGTTATCTGGGCTGTTCTCAGATCCCCTGCGAAAAGTTTAACTTTTCGTGAGTTAAATGGAAAGCCAACCACTAACAAAACAAAAAGCTAAAAAGCTAAGGGGAGGGCTGGAAGCCACCAAGTTATGATAGATCCGCAACTCCCTTGCCTTGGGAAAGGTCAAACGGACGAAACATCGCTCCCGGAGACCCCCTGAAAGGGTTCCCTCATGTTGAAACAACCAATCTCGGATCACTCGAATTCCCAGAGATGGTGATAAGGAAATTCCCCGGACGAGGAGAACCGCCGGAACACCCGCGGACTCTTCCCAACTCTCCCTGAAACTGTCGTTGGTTGCTTTGATCTCATGTTTGGTTGGTGTGATATGCACATGAGTATATGAGTATCTGTAATACCATGGTTGCTCCTTGAAGTACCAATCGTGCAGCCTTCCCTTGCTACTTTGGCGTAGGAAACGTCTTGCGTCGCGGGAAGCGATAAAAAGGCGCCGCCCACAGGTCACCTTCTGGAAAAATAGATCGCCCTGGTAAATGGAATACCCATCGAAACCAGCGGAACCCATCTATTTCTCAGCAAACCAACCTGAACAAAACAGACGCCTATGCCGCAGCCGTTTTGAAGCACCCCGGAACGCGGCTTGTCTTCCGGATTCCCCCACCTTGCCGTTCCCATCGATGTCTATAACCTCAAGGAGGTTCTTGGCTTCTGCCGGGTGCACGTCGATGGTCTCAAAGAACTCTTGCCTTAAGACAGAAATCACTGGAAAGCCAAGTCGGCCTGGCAAAACAAGATGATTAAAATGTGCTGCCATGAGTCATATTCGAAAAGTGACTACAGTAAAAGTGCAGTCTGACAATACAGGTGTGCAGTGTCAAGGTACAAGGCGAACATTGCGTGCAAACGAAAGGAAAAGTGAAGTGACGGATGCTTGTGAAACGATCTGATCAATTAAAGTGTCTGCTAGAAGTTAAGTAGAAAAAGGTCTGCCCAAACCCATGTAAAGAATCGGCGAATACGCGTCTCTTTATCGTCGGAATTGACCCTTCATCCGCCCGCGTTTTCTTTGCGTCTCAAGGAAACCTCCTCTCTGCGGTCCAAGCTGCACTGCCGGGTTGTTGGTGTGCTCCAGAATCTCCTTAGATTGGCCGGGGGAAGAGCAGAAGCCCGGAAACCACCCCGCGACCCAGCGACTTCTTCGGCTTCAGGGCTCCCTTCCAACGGTTCACGATTTCGCTGATTCTCGCCAGGCAAGGGCAATTTCCTGAATATGCCAAAGGCCCAACCCCCGCTCCCCGAAATCAACCTTCTGATCGGTGGGGAGCCGGTTTCTACGGAAACATCTCTCCCGAGGGGGGCTGATTGACAATTTTCAGCATTGATGAAGCACCTCATTTTCCTTGATTGATTTTTGAGTCGCCTCTCTTTTTGCTTGCTCCACAGAAGTTTGGGGGCTACCCCATTTAGAGACAACCTCGAATACTTGCTACCTATTGCCCCTGCGCCGAAAAGTTTAACTGTTTGTTGGTTGGTGGACTCAATGATAGTCAACCCAGATTGACGGGGGTGCAACCCTCCCAAAAACTGATCCCGATCTAAAGATATCGAAAGGAAAGGCATCCCCACATGTCCTCACAGACCTCCTGGCAGCGCCAACCTCTCAGCTTCGGCAACTTTACCCCGAGGCTCCCAGCAGATTCCAAGCACCAGGCCCCAAATGTTGTGAGTAAACCAACCACACTCGACAACAAAAATTGGAAGTGTCCTTGCTTCCAAACTTGCAATATGGCTATGTCAAAATGATGACGCCTCCCTATGTTTGGCGTGTTTTTGCGCGAACCCAAAGATCAAGCCCCGCGATGGGGTGGGGGTCAAAGGTTCGACAAACCAATTTTCATCCGTAGATCCACCTCTTCAGCGGTAGAAGTGCCCGTATGATGGACACTTAGGTCTGTAGGTTGCAACCTCCTTCTTTTCGCGTCTTGGTTTCTTTTCAGCTTCCAGGCCAAAATTACACTCTACCCTCCCTCCAACAATCATGATGTATGGGGAAGACTGGTTTTCTATTTGGGAAACCTCCGCATGCACTTCCATTGCTGCAAAAACAGGTAGGTGTCCCTGGCCCTCCCCCCCCAAGCCCCCGCCTCCCATCTCTGCCCCCCCCCTTTTCCCCCCCCCCCTTCGCCTCCCTCCCCCCCTTCCCACCTCCCCCCCTTCTTCCCCCCCCCAACCCTTGGGCCGCTTGGGCCCCCCCGCGTCGGGGGAGATGAAGCCGGAGGAGTCCTGGTCGATCTCCTTGAAGAGCCGCTGCGCCTGGGCCACCCGCGTGCGCAGATACAGGTCCTCGCTCGCCCGCCCGCCCGGCCCCCGCTCGGCGCGGCCCCCATGGCCCGGCGGGGGGTGCAACGGCCGGGGGCTGGGCGTTGACCCAAGGATCGGGGTTGGCTTTTTACGGGTAGACCAAGCATGTTGAAGGTCCAGAAAGTCAACATCCAGGCTTTAAGGGTAGAACCACTTTTTGAGGGGTCATGACCCAAAAGAAGCTTGCTTTTTTTTTGGTAGAAGCGTTTTATAAGTGTTGGGGGGTCAACGACATGGTTTAAGGGTGGACGGCCGAAAGGAGACGTTGCTTTACTGCCATGACTCTCCAGGGTGAAAGGAAGCTTGGTCCAACCTTGAGAGGTGCCCGATCTCGCCCTGTTTGGGGCGAGTTTTAAAGGGAAACCCCTAAAAGAAAGCACCACCATTTTGGGCCCAGGGCCCCTGCAAACCACCAATCCGAACCACCAATTTGTGGGTACCTCACGTTTCGTTTTACCTCCCAAAGGGAGGGATGCTGTTGCTGGGCTGCAACCCTGGTTATAAAGGAAAAGCATACATGTTCGATTGTATATAAAACCTCCGATTCAGGAAGTTCAAAAGATCTACAACTAGGCTCAACGAAATCATTTTCTGATACTTGACAGAGCAAAAATTAAAGGACACGCAAGGTGCAAAATGGGCGAAGAGCTGCCTGCTCCAAGCTTCCCCTGAGCACAAGGTCTGCCTTTGGTGAGTTGAATGCATGAGCAATTGTCCAAAATGTATTGCCGGAGCGATTCTGTCACACCGAAGACCAGGCATCGGAAGTGGTAGTTATGATTCTTGAGTTTGCCCCACCTCTGTGTTCCGTCCAGCTAGTCAGTGACGTGACAGTGATCGGTAAGCTTGCTTGCTTGACCACTTGCTTATAACCCACTAGTAAGGGACCGGCTTTTTGGCACCCAGGCTAAGCACTGGCTGGAACACTCAGCTACGGCTCTTGCGTTTCCAGATCTGGAAACAAGGCCCCATTTAACCGCTTGAGACAACAGACAGCACTGGTCAATGAATAGAACTAAACCAGTGGAATCCACAGTAACCAACTAGGTCCTCCAGTAGAGAGGTTAGAATAAGGGTACCCTTTTTTATGTAGTCTATTTTAGTAGGGAAACCCTCCCAACCAAAAAAGAAACGGTAGAGAACGGCACCTAGCTGGGGGACCTAGCCAAACTTCTTGAGGCCACATGCCGTAGCGTCGCACCAAAGAATCCCCGCAGCGCGGCTCAGTCCTTGGATTGCTGGCTCATCGACTCCACGAAGGTTCCGGTGATCACCTGAGAAGTGTCCGGGCAACTCGGTTGCGAAATCTGCTAAAAGGATCCCCCCTCAACTACGCTCCCGTTATTTGAAGGGTGTGTATTGACAACCCAGGTTTGCCGGGAAATACCATCTTGGTTGCGAAAATTGCTCCCCTGCTAAAAGTGGCTAACTTTTAGTGGTTTAATTCGGAAAACCCATTAGTTGGCAAAAAGTTTAAGTCCTAACATGCCTCAAAATGCACCAAAGGCAAGGTTGATGCAACTTGTCCATTCCTAGAACATCCCTTCCTCAACCATACTGGCAAACCAAACTCAGGTGCCCAGTGGCCATGGGAAAAAATGGACATCCTTTTTTGGTTGGGTCAGTCTAAAAGGGACCCCCCCAAAAAAAAAAGAAGAGAGGAAACAAAGGGCGGAATCCACTGGGCTGGGCCAAAAAGTTTGAACCCAGGAAGTGAGGCTCGGGGGTCTGGTCCTGAAAGAAGGATCCCCCATTTGTTTCAGTCTACCCAAAGGGGCGAACAAACCAAACTTCCCTGGGACCTCTCAATTTCTAGGGCGGCTCCGCCCGGCAAAACGTGATGCCTGCTGTGTATGCGAAAAGCTGCGCTTCTTGTTCTCTCCTTTTTTTCCTGGTGGCCAATGTGGATTTGCGATACCTGCATGGATTGTGTTGAAGTATGCCAGTTCAAAACTGCGTGCTTTTTGTGAATCTAGTTAGTTGGACTGTAAGCAGTTGGATGATGTCCTGATGTTGAATACGATTAAATTCACATGTTCTACTTGATCAGACAAGGTGTGGGCTATGTGCTCCCCCCTGTATCGCTGCCCGCTGCAAGGCGTCCTGAAAATAAACGAGGCGTTTCCATTATGTCCCGTGTCACGAAAATAGTAAATGAAGCTTTTGTAGTATTTCCCACGTCCCGGAAACGGTAAAAGCTTTTCGATTATTTCCCACGCCCGGGAAATAATAAAAGAGGCGATTCTATTGTGTCTTCGCGTGCCTGCATCCAAGATGCATTGAGCAAAGCTAGCACACAGAATGACATGAACATGAAGAACAGAAGCCCAAACCACGGCGAGATCTCGTGGATGAGCGGATCGGCCAGCTGGCCCCTTGGCAAAGGCAAGCTTTGAGGTGGGCATCCTCAGCACTTGCGCCATAATCCCTGTTTCACCTTCCGCAGGAAACCGAAAGTGGCTTCAGTTCCGGAGCAGCAAGCAGCAACCTGTTCAGAAAACAATGTAACAAAGCAGCCAGAAGCTCTGGAAGAGCTGTGTTGTGGGCGGCAACGCTACGCCTTATCTCACACCAGCGCCAACGCATGCATGAAAATCGTTTGCCCTCCCCAAAAATCCGTTCCAAACGTGACAGCTTGCCTGTACAATCAGCAGGCTTGATCTTCGAGTCCAAGGAAGCCTATCAATTTATGGATCCTAAACATCTGCACATCCAAAACAAGAAATCCAACACATGAAATGGGTGTGTCATTTTTTGAGGGGACCCCAAAATGGTGCTGTTCACTTTGGTGTCGCTGTAGAAGCCACAAAAAGGAGTACCCTTTATAAAACGACAGACCCGAATGAGAATTGGATCCCAAAACTGAACTGCCTTCATGGCTTTGCCTTGTTCCATGAACAGAATCGGCAGATGTATACCGCAGAGCCAATCAGAGCAGCACATTTCGTGGTGATTCATATCGGAGGGCCGGATGCTAATGCCCTCAAAGAAGCTGGACAGGCTTGCAATTCAGGGCCAAACACATCCTTGAACCCAGGTATGCGATGTTGGCCTATATAAATCATGGATAGTTCTGAGATAGATTGGCCCAACTCTCAGATGCAAAAAGAAGATGCCCAGATTCCGCATCACATATAGACAACCTTAAAAAATACTTGGTGGTGAGACCCCAAATAAGCATTTCCCAACAAAACTCCTGGAATCGCCGAGGCTGAGGGGCCAGTCGAGGCTACCGGTGACGCCTTTGAACAAACTCATCACCTGGGCGACGACGTCTCTCGCGGAGAAAGAACATGGATGTGGGAGTTCGACCCCAGGTTGTTGATTCCCATTCGCCATCACTTCAGAACGCATCCCACTGGTTTCACAGAAAGTGACCCTAAAACCCATGCGGTTATGAATTCTACCCGGGGGCCCTGTTGGTGGACGGAGTTGTGCGCCACCATTCCCAAGTCCCATGAAAATTCAAGCCATTTCGCACAACCATGAAGAAGGGGGATGTTTTGTTTCTGCATATTGCAAACCCCCCCCTAAAATACGTCAGTTGGGGGGTGTCGCTTTTTTGAGGGAGCCCCTGCTAGGTTAGCTCAAAGGGGAGCCAAATGAAACCACGCATACAAGAGTTCTGCTTCATGTCCAGCAGGGGAACAGCGAAATGGGTATGATTTCTAGGTAGGGACTCTTTCGTGAACATCAGTTAGGTGGGCATTCATCTCCACCCACCAGTTTGAAGGAAGCTCCCTATTAGAATTCATAGCCAAACAAGCAATGCTGCAGCGCGTAACGATACGCATTCGGGGGTCAGCCAATGTGGCCAGTGTTCCAACATCAAAACTTCCCCTCGTCGGGAACCCCAAAACTGCAAGACATTTGTTTACACTCCTGGAGCCCAGGTGTCAGCTTGGACATACAAATGGGTTTATCTGCTAAAAGGAAGAAATAGTAAGCTGCACCAGTGGAGCCCCTGTATTCCTGTCCGACCGAACCAGGACACCTATGGAGAGGCCCAATACAGTAGACTCCAAAATCGGGCCAAACATCGGCAGGCGCCAAGCTGGTCATTTTGTACACCACGGCTCAGTAGGTGTGTGTGTGTGTGTGTGTCCCCGCGGTGTTTCAGGGTTCAAGTTCCAGGGATGTCTTCCGAAATGAAATGTCCGAAGGTCGTTCCAGCAGTGGGGGTGGAAGTACTTTGTTGCGGCGAAACGCCACGCCCCTACTAGACTTGAGCTTCCAACAGAAAACTAGCAAGTCCAAAATGTCCGAGCTCTCGTCATCTTCTAAACTCCGTTGTTAAACTCGCCCAGCCGAGAAAGTCGAATCACCTGCGTGAGGCTGGAAAGCTTCAAAGAACTGTGGGAGAGAGCCCGGCCCGAAACGCCGTTTCCCAAACATGTTTCGACCCTCATGTTTGATCTTCCTCCCGCGTCTTCTTGATCAGGGTTCCTCCACCAACCCCAATTCGCGGTGTAGACAACTCGTGAAAGGACGCCTGCGAGGAAACACAACTCAACACCAATTTGCCGAGCTGGGGGGGTTGCTTTTTTTTTGCGGTAGGAGAAATTCTAGCTTTAGTTTTGTTTTTCGTGCCGGAAACGTTTCGCCCGGCGCCAACGGTTCAACCCCTAAAAACAGGATGATCAATCCCTTGTTTTGCCATGTTTTCCCACCCTGGACAACTCCATGCTTTCTGCACCCACCCAGGGGGGACACCTGGCAACCAATTTGATGGTCAAATCACGCAAAACAGAACAAAAAGGTGTGGGGAAATGCATTCCCCATTATCATTAACCCAGGCGAGCCAAACCCAATCTGGCCCAACAGGGCGCACTAACCTCAGATGCCCAAATTCACCACTTCACCCATGAAGCCCGGAGGTCGAAAAAAATCCCCCCCCCCCCCCCCCCCCCCCCCCCCCCAAACTCCGGAGAAAAAAAGGGCGCTTCGAACCATCGCAAACGCCCCAAACTCCGAAGAAAAAAAGGGCGCTTCGAACCAAGTGTAACTTTTAGTGGTTTAAGTGGAAACTGCCACCAAACACTAAAAGGGTCTAAAACGCTAAGGAACCGGATGGCCTTCGGCAGCCAAGAGAAAACAGGGGCGCTTCGACCTTTCGACCTTTCGACCTCGGCTTCCTCCGAGCCGCGCTCGTGGGGATGGAGCCCCACCACTTCCTCAGAGTCGGGGAGCCCCCGTCCGCCAGGGCCTCCAGGCGGTGGGCCGTGGCCGCCTGCGTGACCAGGATCGCCATGACCTCTCAACAAGACGGCGTGAGGCGTGAGGCAAAAGATGGCCATGGGTTGCATCATGGCGATCCCATTGGGGTGGATGAACATAAACTGAGCCACCTACTTTGATGTTCACCAGGGGTTTCCTGGGTTTTGACCATACACTGAGGTTGACTAACTGGGTCCTCCAGTAGAAGTAAACCCAATTGGCTCAGGGCGAAACGGAACTCAAGTGCGGAACCCTTTCAAGGGGTTACCGGATTGAGCTTTTCGGGCCCGAAATATGAGTTGGCCTTTGGGGTACCCCAAAGGCCTCAACTAGGTCCTCCAGTAGAGAGGTTGGTAGAGAGGTTGGAATAAGGGCACCAACTTTTTTGTGCAGTCTATTTTCGTAGGGGAACCCTCCCCAAAAAAGGGTAAAAGGGCGCTACTGGGGGACCTAGCCAAGACGGCGCGAAGTCTATCCGTCAGGGAAAATAGGGCATCTCCATGTGTGGCTCAAAATTAAACGATCGGAAGGGCAAACCGCAGGTTTTGGTCCATGTTTCCACTTACCAGGGTTCCATTGTGGTACCGGGTTTTTGAGCCACAGCCATGTCTCAGCGAAAGTTTTGAAAGGGTAACCATACCAATTTCACGTGTACCCGTATGTATGACCATGTCCTTTCCGAGTCCGGCTCCCTCTTGAGCGAATTTGGATACCCGCTGGCCCCTGTCCAACCAGCTTCAAAGTTTACCAGTCGTTTACCTGTCACCAGATCCCTTGGACAAAACCTGGTCGCCAGCAACTGGAAGCTCCAAAAACGGCTCTGACCCCGCGAACCGGAAGGCTTGGGACCCCGGGCCTCTCGTCCGGGGCTATCGATTGGCTTCTGGCAATTCAAGCGCGAAAATCTAAAAACAAATGGAGCCCAAAAAAAAGATTAAGAAAAAGACTATGCCCATGAGGTGTCCCCAACCCTTCAAACCCTCCCAGAACTCGAAACCGCCCGCGCTCCGAACTCCGGAACCCTATCCAGCCGCATGGAAAACTGAGGGGAGAAAGAAAAACCTATGGCCGGTACCCAGTACCGGTACCCTCAAAAACGACAGACCCAAATGGCATGGCACGCGCGCTAATCAAAACCGCAGACCTTGCCCTTGCTCAAAAACAAGATAAAGCCGAGCCGCGTAGATGGCAAGTAGCAGCAGCATCACTGCCCACATGAACTGCTTCAACGACAAGAACCTCGGAATGGCCCTAAGAGCCCCTTGGGTGGACTGGAGTGGACTGGGACATCCACCCAAATTCGCGGGGGTCATTCGAGGGGTGGGGTTCGGGGTTCCGGTATGAGTCATAGGATACTCCTGGCATCCAAGTAACAACGGCAAAGCCAGCTATAGTTTCCCCAGACAGATTCAAGCCCGGGCAACATCGGGCAACTTACAGTTCAACACGTCTGCAAGGAATCCCTGTCTAGGACCTAACCAAAATGCCTTGTGGGGTCATGTTTCAACCAACGTGTCCGGCCAAAAGATGACTTGGTTTTGCTTGCCAATACCACCGAGTGGAAGCGCACCGCCTTTTGAAGAAACAAAATCAACTCTTGGAAAGAGAGCCGGCGCACTTCCATCTGGTGGTGGGAGGTAAATTTAAAAAAAAAAAAAAACAGTCTCAAGCCCAACCCGTGGTGTTTTTTTTTTGGGGGGGGGAAGTTCTGAGCTGCAGGTGCTTCATGTTTGGGGCATCCTCCAGGCCCCTAGTCCCAACTCAAGGAGAAACTTTCTCGACGGGCTGCAGGCAATTGATCAAGAGCTGGAGATCTTCGGCGACTCGCACCGCACCCACCAGGCGGACCACCTCCGAGAAAAGACGGGGCGGGGCAAGAAGGGCGGCGGCCTCTTTGCCTCTGGGCAGGTGTTCCTTTAAAACCAAAAAGCATAAGCACACACACACACACGTAGCGTGTCCTCCTCAATACAATGTTGATTCCGAACTCATCTGGAGGACCGCTCTACTCAGGGCTGGCCAGCCCCCTTTGGTAAGGAAACGCGGTACTTTAGGAGGTTCTATTGATTCGTATTCGGTTCCCTGGATTTGAAGGTCACATTCGAGTGTGGATTATTCAAAAATAGGCCAACCCCAAAATGGGTCAGCCCTGGTAAATGGAAACAATGGCCAAAACCTGCGGTCCCATGGTGCTTGAACATTTTGACCCATACCCATTTAATGATGGTCCTAAAACAGCCATTGGAAGGTGACTCAGACCATTGGCCAGCCATCAGGGGAAAACCAACCAGGGAAAATTAAAATAAAATACTCTTAAGCAAATGGACGTGTACTTTAGGTTCTATTGATTCGGGCCCTCTGGACTTGAAGCTACCATTCCTTTGCTTTCCGCTCTATAAGTGAACGAACCCAGGAAGTGAGCCTTGATTCTAACCGTTATAAGTTATAACCCATTCCCATACCCTTGACCCAAAAAAAAACGGCATCTTGACTCCTTTCCCTTTCCCCACGCCTTGATGGCCCGCAGCACGCGCACCACGCGCATCACCTCGGTGTTGGACTGCAGGCCACCTGTCGCAGACCGCGGCTGTGCGGGCGGCGCGAGGCGCCGGGCGCGGGGGCGGGGGAAGCACCCGAGCGCAAAACGGGGGAGACTCAGAGGTCCGAAAAAGGCAAACCACGCCGTTTGTAGGAATTCGTACCAAACCGTTTTTTTTAGGAATTCTTGCCGGAAAAAAGAGAGAGCGTGTTTTTTAGGATTTCTTGCCGGAGAAAAGAGAGAGAGAGAGAGAGAGAGAGAGAGAAATAAAAAAGTGCTTTTGAGGTTTTGGAAGAATGATTCGCACAAAACAAAACAAAAACGTGGTTGAGACAATCTGCATGACAATCTGCATTGGATGTGCTGGCCTCAGTTGGCCCCAAAAACATGCTCAGTATGGCCTTTGGGCACACTCGAGACGCAAACGTACCGGAGGCTTCGACTCAGCTGCGGCCTCCCGAAAGCATCGCCGCACAGCCCCAGGAAAGACGACGAGAGCGAAGGACACCGGGCAACCACGGACTGTGTGGGAATTTTGTTTTTGAAATGTGAATCGGTTCACATTCAAAAGGTGTTCAAACTCATCACTGTCTGGGAACCATGGGAAAAGGTACTTCTGTTTGGGAAAAAAAGCTTGCTGGTTCTCAAGGAATGAGAAATGGAATGACGCTGACAAAAAAACTGTCCCCGATGTGGCTTCCTTGAAGGGAATCCCCAAAGGCTTCGTTCCCAACACCCGGACGTGGTCCTTCCAGGCTGAGCACCAGCAAGAAAAAGATCACTCACCCAAGTGTTCTTATCGCCAGGTGCAAATGCCACCACCGATGGGCCCCAAAGACAAACTCCAAGGGGAGTCTGCAGGCCCAACGAAATGGAAGCCCCATGTTGAAAAAACATGACCCCTCTGAAAAATAACCTGGGGACCCATTGCTCAAGCTCTCAAGGGGTTGATCCATGCTCCGCTCGGCCCCCAAATGACCATGGAAGACACTGTTCCAACCACATGCATGTGGTTGGAATATCGCATTTGTTTAAAGTGGTCTTCCAACCAATGGTCCTCCTCCCATTTTCCTTGGACCTTTTAATATGGCCTGGTTTCCCCGCTCCGGAGCATGAATCCCGGCAACACGGTTTCGACCACCCACTCTCACCAATCGATGCGACTCGAAGCGACCCAGTACGAAACATGTCCTGGTTCTTGAGGGTGAATAGGAAGCTACCCAAAAGCACCAAACCGCCAAACCATCAAACCACCAAACCTCCAAACCATGCACCAAACCACCAAATCACCAAACCACCCAGCCTCCAAAGCCCCGAGGGAAGCCTAGGGCCTGCAGTAGAGAGGTTAGAATAAGGGTACCAACTTGTTGCTGTAGTCTATCTTTAATAAGGGAACCCTCCCAACCACAAAAAGGGTGAGAAAGGGCACCTGGCTGGGGAAACCGCCAAGGGAAGCTGAAAGACGGGAAAACGTGCCCAAAGCGACGCCTGCGAGGGCGAGGAGCAGCTCCTCAGAGACCTGGACGGTCACGAGGGTCAGGTCCTGAGCTTCCGAGGCCTCCCCGTTGCTCGAGCTTGCCCCTTAAAAGGGTGAGCACCTGGCATTAAATCAAAAATGGAAGCCGACATACAAAACCAAAAGGTCAAAAGGTCAAAAAGGCTTTGGGCGGAGTTGAAGTACCGACCGATCAAAGATCGTGAGGGTGTTTGGACAAAGTGAACCGCATCTTGACAAAGCCATCGCTTGGCAACTGACATAATTACACTCCTAACATGGGACTTGGCAGGGCTGTCCTTGTTTGGATCATTTTGCCTCTCACTGCCGCTCCATAGGTACCACGTTACCCAAGGCCTGCAAGTTGCTCATTTGCGATCCGGGTAGAATGGATTTCCATACCTGGAGGCTGGTTTGCGATCCATCACTTGGAAGGGCGCGTGAAAGGAGACTTACTCCAGATTGCTTTCTCTGTTGCAGGACAAGGACTGACCGTGTCGAGGGCCTGATCAACCTTTATAGTTGGAACACAACGTAAAGAAAGTAAGACTCCCTATTAGGGGATCCGTTTTCAGAAGACCGCTTTCAGCACTGCTTTTCCTGAACGGATGCTTTCAAGACCGAATCGCAAGTCCAATGCCACACTGAGGGGGTTGGGCCTTCTGAATCTGGAGCGTCAGCCCGAATTTTTGGTGGGGCAGGAAGTTGAATGAAACTTGCTACTTCTGGTGCTTGCTACCCCCCATTTTGCCTAGGATGGGCCAAGAAAAGTCAAAACTTCCTGTTTGCCAAGAACCTGGTTTTCCCAAACTATATGACATTCTGAAATTTTGGGGATTTAGTTGAGGGTTGGAACAAACCCTTCTGCCTAAGATGGTGTCCATTGCTCCTACCACATTGGATACAGCAACTAAGCCGCCACATCAGGGGGGAGAAAAACGCGTCTCTCGATGCAGAGTTGGGGAGTTGGTGGACAGTTGCCAAGTGCTCCAACCCCCAGAAAAGTAGAGTCAGGGTTCCACTTTTTGAGTACCCCAAGATAGACTGAAACCCAGAAGTTTCCCTTTGGGGGACATCAACCACCCTGGGTTTAAGTCTATCTTGGGGTACTCAAAACTGGAAACCTGGATGGGGCGTCACCACCTGGGGGGGGGGAGCGCCCTGCAGTCGACCCAAAGAAAAAGATATCTTCCGCGGAGCCAGCAGGTTCCAGGCGAAGCCCGACATGGTGAGGAACCGGCTCCCGTACCTCAGCAAATCGAAAGCGCCAAAAACACCAAACAAAACCCACGAGTGAGACGATTAACGACCCCTTTGGCATCAAACCAAATCCATGTGGCAGCACGAAATGAGAAACCATGGTTGCAACGATAGTAGTAGGAACCTTGGCTGGAATTAGGATCCCAGCAAACAAATATATTTTTTGCCTGGCTAGCGGAAAAGCAAAAAGGCTAATTCTGGGGAAGGAAACAGAAGCCCCGCGAAATGAGACCATGCGATTGTTAGACGATTGGTTGGTAGGAAACATTTGGGCCAGGCTACTCTGGCTCCAAACCCATTTCCGAGCGGCCCTGCAAGCCTAAGCAGAGCTCAAAGCCGAAGAAGATGCAGAAGGTAATGTCCAGCAAACGGAGTGTCCTTCACATCAAGTAAAAAACAACAACCAACCAGTTCTTGTCCGTCCTTGGACATTTTTTTGCTTGGTGCTTGCAAGAAACCACGGAAGCAACAAAGATTCCCATCATTTGGTCCACTTCACTTTCCTCCTTCCGATGGGGTCAGAGCGCGTCCTGGGCGTTTCAGAGTCCAGGGTAACGGCCATGTGGTCCGTCTGCAAACCCACAGTCACCGCGTTCGCACAAAGCCTTGCGACGAGGCGCGACGTGTCACGACTGGAGAAGGTGCTAAGTTCTGTGACCTCTTTCAAAGACCAACAGGATTGCTCTCTAAAGGCCACCCTTCGCTGTTCTACCCTTAGCATCTTTCAGGAATGGCTCAGAGCCCCAAAGATCCTGCAAGCGCCACAAAGATGCGTAACCCGATTGACGGTTTGACAGGTCTCCGGGAAAGGCCACGAGGCAATCAACCCCAGTTTTAGTAGTAGGGTGTGCCCTTGGTTTAGTGGGGATTCATCACTATTGGAGGGGTACACGATTGCAGGGTTACACTCGCTATTGGTAGGATGGATTTATGTAGCCGGGGTTAACATCCTGTTTTCGCAGATTCATGTGGGCAGGTTGCAAAAATCTCCCAACCTGTCCAATCCACAGAGAACACAACGAATACAACGACCACCCTGATCTCGCGCATCCGAAAAAGGCGGGACCGGACAGTCCGTTTGGGAAATCCGCGATATCCTTTTGTGAACTTCCCACTTTCCTTGTGGCTTTCCTCTCTGAAGCCAGGATTGATATGTTTGTATATATATATATATATAGGTATGCCTCTGATTGGGGTGTCCACTTTTGGGGAATCCTTCACTTGAAAGAATCATACCTGCATATGTTCAAGCAGGTTTTACCCAGGATCGACATCGCTCCTCTCAGTATGTTGGTTCGATTGAGTAGGTGGAGTTTCTAGTTTTGGCCCAGGCGGGTTTCAAAGAGCTTCTGGGGGGTCATTGCAAAGGGGTTACTCTAGGGTCCTCGTTATTCGAAGTTCACCTTACCCAGCGGTTCCCAGTTCCGATTGGTTTGGTGGTTTGGGGTTTCGTGATTTGGTGGTCTGGTGGCTTCATGGTTTCGAGGTTTGGCGATTTGGCGGTTAACTGGTTAAGAGCCTGGTTCCCCACCCAAACGCCAAACCACCTGGCTTCAGGGTCGCCGGATTTGGTCGTCTCCAGACAATGAGTCCAAGGACGCCCAAACCAATCCAAACCGGATTCGGTCGCCGGGAATTTGGCTCGTCTCCGGCCAAAAGGACCAAATTCATCAGGTCGCTGTGGGTCAAAAATAGGGTAACCCCCAAATGGGTCAAGCCCTGGTGGTTGGACCAAAACCAGTGGTCCAATTCCTGGTGCTTGAAACTTTTGACCCGCACCCAGGTAGCAGCCAAGGCGCATCAGCATGGAGAGCGCCTCGAAGCTCTTGGTGTTCACCAAGCGCAGAGGCCAACGCTGGATGGCCCAGGCCGGCTCCTGGCGGTCACTCCAACTTCCCACGTCCAGCCCTCGGGGTTTGGTGGAGAAGGTGGTGTTTTTTTCCAGCTGGAGCTGTGAGCTGGCTTGGAGGGGGGTCAAGGTCATCCTACCAAGTGCTACTTGGGGGGTTTGGATTGGTGGTTTGGTGGTTGAGGAGGGGGTTCCCATTTACCTACAAGAACCAGCGGTTCAAATCCGAATCCGAAAGAACTCGCAAGTCGACACCCAGAAACCACTCGCGGTAAAGCGGGGAAAAAGGCGGGTTCGGGGTCGGTTTCCGACGAACGGGTCAACAGAACGGAACTCGTCCTTTCTGCACTGCCTTCTGAGCAAATGCAATTGGTCTTTGTAGGGACCTTGCCAGAAGGCCCGCATTTGGAGTACAGAAAACATATGTTCAGTTTCATAGTTAGTCCATTTGAAAATATAACATAGTTTTGGAGGAGGACAGAATTAGACTCAACTGAGTCGCAATCAAAACCTGGTATTAAAATGGTCTACCCAAAGGCAAGTAAGGAAATTAAAAAGGCTGCGCTGCGACCATTTATGGCTGGGCCTTACTAACCTTCATCCGTCCGGGTTTTGATTGTGGCTTGACGGGGAACCCTTTTTTCTCACCCTCCAAACCTTTTTCTTCAAACCCTTCCCTGTTTTTTCAACCCTTCACCCTTTCAATTTAACCCTCCCCCCGTCTTTTTTAACCCTCCCCCCTTTCTTTCTGACCCTCCACCTCTTCCTTTCAACCCTCCATTTCTTTTTTGCCAACCCTGTGGCCGACGCCTGCGGCAACTGCACTAAGTAACGGTTTAGGGTTGGGTTGGTTTCGGAGTGGTTTTGGATTTAGGGTTGGTTTAGGGTGGTGGGTTTAGGGTTGGTTTCGGATGGGAAGGGTGGGTTTGCGGTTTTGTGTTAGGGTCGGTTTTGTGTTGGGTTGGGCGACCTCAGATGTAAGGCTAGTTTGGGGTAGGACTAGGTTTGTGTAGGAAGGGTTTAGAGGCGGGGTAGGGTTTGTTGAGGGTGGGTTTAGGGTTGGTTTGGGATGGAAAGGGCAAGTTTGTGGTCGGTTTAAGTTTAAGGTTGGTTTCGAGCAGGTCTGCTGGGTATATGGTGGGTTCAAAGTTGGATGAGGGTGGGCTTTTGGCTTTGGAGAATGGGTCTAGTGGGTTTATGATTGGTTTAGGGTTGGTTTAGGATGGATTTAGGGTTGGCTACGGGTGAGTTTAGAATGGGTTTAGGGTGAGGTCAGGGTTGGGATAAAGGTTGGATTTACTTAGGGTGGGATTAGGGCTCGTGTCGAAAGGCTTCAGGGTGGATTTTGGGTGGATTTAGTGTTGGCTTTTGGGGTCGGCTTCGGGTTGGATTAGGTTGACTTAGAGCACGATTTCGGTGGGTTTGTGTTTGGTTTAGGTAATCTAGAGTAGGTCTGTGGTGGCTGTAGGGTTAGCTTAGGGTTGGTGTAGGGTTGGTTCAGGGCGGGTTTGCGGTTTGTCTATGTCTAGGGTGGCGTTGGGGTTGCGCTAGGGCAGGCTTGGGGTTGCTCAAGGGTGACTTAGGGTTGATTTGGGGTGGCTTGATTTCAGGTGGGCTTAGGGTTTTTAAGGGTATGTTGGGTTTAGGGCGGGTTTAGGATTGGGTTAGGATTGGCTTAGGGTCGTTTTAGGGTTGAGAGTTGGTTTTGGGTCGGTGGGTCTGTTCAGGGTTGGTTTAGGTTGGGCTTGGGGTTGCGTTAAAGCTAGATTAGGGTGGGAGTGGGGTTTAGCTGGGTTTAGGGTGGGTTTATTGTTGGCTTAGGCTAAGCTTAAGGTGTGGGGTGGGATTACGGTTGGATCAAGGTTCGGGCGGGTTTAGAGTTCGTGTAGGGTGGGTTTAGGGTGGGTTCAGGACTGGCTTGTTGGTTTAGGGTTGGTTTAGTTTGTTGATTTAGGGTCGGTTTGGGATTGGTTACGGGTGGGTTATGTGTGCTTTAGGGTGGTTTCGAGTAGGTCAGTGGTGGTGTAGGGTGGGTGTAACTTGGCTTGGGGTGGGTCAAGGGTTGGACAAGAGATGTTTCTGGTTTGCTTAGGGCTTGTTTAGATTGACTTAGAGTTTGGCTGGTTTGAGGGTTGGCAAGGTTTGGCTTAGGGCGGGCCTAGGGTTGGTTTGGGTTGGGTTGGGTGCGGGGCGGGCTTAGGTTGTTTTAGGTTTAGGGTGAGAAACACAAGGTTGCGGGGTGAAACAAGCAAGCTCGTGGGCGAAAAAAACAAGGCGGAGGGTGAACAAAAACAAGGCGGAGGGTGAAAAAAACAAGACAGAGGGTGAAAAAAACAAGGTGAGGGGTTGAAAAGAAAGGATTTCTCAGGGTTGGAGAAACAAGGTTCCCGCAGACGGTTCCCAAGCAGGGTCTGAGGGTGGAAAAAAAAGGAAGGGTTAAAAAAACAACTTCGGAGGGTGAAAAAAAAAGGGAGCCCTGGCTTGACTGCCACTTGACCCTTGTGCACCTTGACAGGACATTGATAGGAGACCCTGACCAACTGATGCCTTTGATACTGACGCACGAAGCGACGCGACGAACATGGCCGTGTCGAAAGTGCTAGGCTTGCTGGTGCTCAGTAGGGAATGACCTTCCAGTTGTTGGGAATGAACCGTTTGGGGATTCCCTTACAGGAAATCGAATCGGGACGGTTTTTCTCGGGGTCATTCCATTTCTCATTCCCTACTGAGCACCAGCAAGTTGAGGTGCTCTCCGTTTGATGCAACCCTGCCAGGGTCGTGGGCCCGTCAAGGGCAATGGCCCCAGTTCCCCAAGGGGTCTTCATGTTGATAACCATCCCTCTTCCCCCCAAGTGAGCGAAGCATCCAACTCATTGACCATTTGGCCCATGTTGGGAATACATGTTGCTGTGGCGGATTTACGCCCCACGTATGGGCGATTGGGCTGTCGTTGAAGAACTCGCGTCACAGGAGTGCTACATCATCTTCTTTCGCATGCAGGATCTCGGGTTCTCTCTAGTTGGTCGTTTGGATTGGTGGCTTGGGGGTTTCAACCCCTGGTGTTTGTAGAGGGTAGATGGACAACCTCCCCTTAACCACCGAGCCAGCGATTCGGCTCCAAACCATCAGCTAAGCGACTTACCCTCTTAAGGCCAAAGATTCCAATGAAGCAAGGGTGACCGGTATCTGAGGGTGGATTTGGCTGTGGGTCAAAAATAGGGTAACCCAAAAATGGCTTGCCCTGGTAAGAGGAAACATGGACGAAAATCTTTGGTTTTGTGGTGCTTGAAGATTTTGACCCACACCCATTTCATGAAACCTAACTCCTAGAGGCCGGCAATGCCCGAACTTTCTTGTTCTCGGCTTTTGGCGATTTGGCCCTCGACGCTTTTGGTGTTGCTGTGGCACGCGAAACATCCGCGACCCAAAAACGTTGGCCTCGGGAAAGCGTAGCCACAACTGAGGCCCAGTGGATCCATCTACCTGTTTGGTAGGCAACCAACAAAACCACCCTTTAGAACCAAAAGGAAAATAGCTAGTAGCAGGTTACCCAAAAAAAATCGGGTGCTTCTCGAAACGCCGGCCTCGAAGTTCATGCTCCGCGGGCGGTTGCTGAAGGCCCATTCCACCATGGAGGGCTGGCGAATCAGATCGGATCGATTGCGTGTTTTTGGGCTTCCCTTTTTGGAGGGCAAGTGTACCTCACTTGCCCAAAGGACCTGGGAATAAAAGTTTAACCTTTTGGGACCTCTACTAAAAATAGACAAAAAAGGGAAATCCAAAAGGTCAAAAGGTCGCCTTTGAACAACTGAGGTCAGGGGTCAGTGGACTTCCCCAAAGCAGCAGTTCATCATTGGTGGTTTCCATTGAACTTGCCACTTTTGGTTCCCAAAAAGGGAAATGGCGGAAACCTTGGTAGTCCTTCTCAGGTCGTTGTTGGCAAAAGGACACGAGCTGTCCTTTTGCCACCGGACATCGAACACTACACCTGTTGTACCTCGAGGAACCCGAGTTGGGGGGGGTTCTCTCCTGGTCAAAGAGTCTGAAAACCGCCGCTCTTTGAGTGGTCGAAAGGGGGCCAAGTCGATGCAATTCGAGTCCCGCTGAGATGCTTAGGGCGTGTGTCCTTCAAACAGCTCAGAACTCAATTCAACGAGGTCCAACAGCCGATGCTTAAGCCACTCTGGAAACGCCACAAATGCAAACAAACAAAAAAGCGCGCTGGAATCTGGCTGGTTGCTTTGAATGGAGTGGATCGACAGATCGACATATTCAATTCCGAGTGCTTCCGAGTGACAGGTCAAAGGCCACCCCTTTGTCGGAGCCAGGGAGATTGGTCTCAGGATGTTCTTCCAGGGGCCCCGAAGCCGTCGACCGTCGACCCTTGAGCCGAGCAGTCGATCTCAGCGGATCTCAGCGGTTCGAGCCAGCGCCTTGAAGTTGCTGGGGGTCTTCTCGATGCTGGAGGTCTCCGAAGGCTCCTGCAAAAAAAGAAGACAAAAAACAGGGGCTCCTGCTGGTTGGTACATCCATTTTCAAGATACGGGTATGGGTCGAAATGTTCAAGCACCAGGAACTGGACCGCAAGTGTCGGTCCATGTTTGGAACCATTTGCCAGGGCTTGACCCATTTTGGGGTTACCCATTTTTGACCCACAGCCACATGGTTTAACAGAATTGTGGGTGGCGAAAAGATTCGTCAACGGAGGACTGAGGACCTGCAAAGTTGCTGAGGAAGTGCCAAACAACTGACTTCTTCTGCAGTTGTCCTCTTCTCCCCCAGACGTGCAAAAAAAACACGGAAACGGTGCATTTGATCTGAAATAAAGGGTGGATAAATTCTCCCCCAAACACCTAGCCAAACTTGGGACCAAATTCTGACAGCAAATCGAATGGATACAAAAACCAAATGGGTCCGGCCAAAAGGTGGGTTGTAGTTTGCAACAAAGAAAACTTGAGGATCTCAACTGGGAAAAAGACCTCCCAGGGGCACCTGAGACCTGGCCTACCCCAAAATCATGCTTTAAAAAAATGAAGAAAAAAACAAGAGGGCACACTCATATTAGGTGTGCCTTTTTTTGGCTTGACCCCGCGCCCTGAAAAAAGAAGGTATTCCTGTTGGGTGTCTGTTGGGAACCAACCCAAAAACAGGGTACCATGAAAAAAGACACACCCATATATGGTCGGGATTGTGCATTAGAGGGTGCAGAGAAATGGTCGAAAGGAAAGGCTCAGACTATCGAGGAAACAGCAAAGACAGTTATGCGGTTTTCAAGCCTCCATTTGTTGTTGGTACTTGAACCCCCTTCCACTAATAACCGTCATCTATCCACATGTTGATTCCGCAGGGGCTGAACACTCCGCTTTCGGAGCGGAACCCAACTCCTCACAGGTCAGCTGGGGGCAAAAGACTGGAACCGGACACCAAAACCAACCATGCAGGGGATTCCCTCAAACCAAAGCCAGACTTAGACCTCCTGCAGAAATTCAACTGTTTGCAAGCTGAAAGCAAAAATCACGGAAACCAAACACCAGTTCAAAACGGTCCGTCGTCAAGTCCGGCAATGGTCCAGAAACTGATTTTGGTCCTCAACCCAAACAAATCACAACTTGCTTCTTCCTTTCATTTTTACAAGCCAACTCCAAAAAAGCCGGGTAATTACTACCACAAACAAAAAAATCCAGGGGTTTTGTCTGCCCTTTGGCTTCCTTTCAGCGCCCGGGGAAAAAAAGAAGAAAAAAAGCGCCGCCCCAACCACTTCCGCCGCGGCGAAGCGCTTCTCTCCTTGGACACCTCCGGGTCCGGCTCCGGGGAAACATCCGCGTTGCCGGCCACCCGCAAACTCGGCGCCAGCAAGGCCGGGGTCTCCTTGCAGAGCGGGAAAGGTTCCGAGCCGTCCTAGACTTGCCTTCTGGCCCGCTCTCTTTTCTGGACATCTCGATCTTTTTTGGTGCAGGGTGTGCAAACCAAGGCGGAGTCGATAGATCCTAGGAACCCATGGTATGAACCCAGGCGGATTCTCTAGTGGAATGGGATTTGCTATATGAGTTTTAATCAGGAAGGTGTTGTATTCAAATGGTTCATCATTCTTCATCACACGGATGGCTATATATTCTATAGATGGTTTGTTCGAATGAACGTCCATATGGTTTTGCTGAAAGGCAAAAAAGGGTTTGAATGTATAGGTCCACGATATGAACCCATGGTATGAACCCCTAGTTTACGGGTTCATTCTTCGCTAGGTACGGCTGGCGAATTCGAGGTTTGGGATCTTTTTGCTCACTTCTCTGACACTGTGGATGGTTTCGAAATCCATTTTGCACCACCGCTCAGAAACCCGGAATGATGATTCCCTTGTACATACCCTCTTGACCCATATATCAACCCATGGGAATCCATTTTATCCAAAATTTTTGGATCCTCAAGCCGGGCGGATTCCCATAATCAAGCCATAGCTAACGATGAATCAACCCATAAACTAGGGTTCATAACATATGGGGGTTGATCCATACTCTGGATGGTTGCGAAATTCATTTCGCACCACCGTTCAGAACCCTGGTTTCTGATGAGTCCGCGATAAAGATACCAACAAACAATGGTGTCCCCTGGCTTCAAAGTGTAGGATTTCGTCCATCCACAGCATGGGGGTTGATCAAGAGGTCCGATGAACATGGGACGACCAGTGGCTGGAAAACCACGAAAAAGATGTGATTTGTCAAGCACAAAATGGGAAAACTTTCCCATGGCCATTTGGGGGCCAGGAATATTGATCAGCCCCCGCATCTGAACCCACGCGAATCCATTTTGGACCTTTGGGGCTGATTTCCGATAATTCAGCCATAACTAACAGTTAATCAACCCACAAACTAGGGGTTCATACCAGGGGTTAATATGGACATATACATTCAGCCTTTGATTTGCACAGATCAGCGTGGAAATATGGGTGTGTTTTGTTTGCTCGGCTCGGAGCCCAATGTTGGTGGTGTTCAAGGGAAACCAAAGGGAAAACCATCCACTTCAAGGGGGCGTCTAATAGGATTCGGAGCCCCAAACATGGTGGTCCTTACGGTTTACCTTACAACCAAGGCACGTGGCCCTGGGTGAATTACAAGAAAAAAACAAGAAAAAACACAATCTGTTCGCTTGAGGTGTCCGGCTGTGATAATTCACCAACCGAAAGTCAGCAATCGGCCCCCAAAGGAAAAGAAAAACCTGACGTGGCTACCAACTATGGTCTTGACGAACGCGCAAAACTGGAGAATATCCCGTTTTTGAGCCCGCTCAGAGTTCACCGGGTGTCGAGCCACTCGCCAATTCGACCGAACATCCAAGCAGGCGGACTGGGTGGGCCAAAAGCCCAGCCTTGGGAGAGCTTCTGGGCACTGCTACGATCGCCCAATAACACAAAAGAAACTTGTTTTTGTTCATAACTCGGACTTAGTCACTGGGATCAGCCAATGGTAGATAACCCAGAACCCACCCCCTTCTTTGGCTACGGCAGCTTCTCGGCTGGTACCTGGTTGGATCTTCCTGGGGCAGTTCTAACACATGCTGTGTCCACCTCGCAGCTCAAATCAAACTGCAAAGAACCTGTCTCGAAGGAAAACAAGCAAAAAGATCCTGGAGCACGTGCAGCCCCTTGTCTTGGCCCGAAGCTGGGGTACACCAAAACCGGTACTTTCAAACATTGGTCCATGCTTAGTCTACCCTAAATGAAACAAAAAGAAAGTCAGGTGGCCCCAAAGCATAGTTGGCCAAGGTGGAAGGAAGAGTATACCAGCGGAGCAAAATGACAGGCCCGCGAGTTTTGTAAACGCGCGTTTCTCTGAGCAAGTTTCTTTCAGCAAGATCTCTGAGAACTTGCTTCTCATTAAGTTCACTGAGCAATTTATCTGAGCAACTTGTCTAAGCAGGCTTCTCTCGGCAACCTTCTCTGCGTAACAAATCTCTCAGTAAGCTTCTCCACGGAAGCGCCCCCAAAAAAAACATCCAGCCACGAACCCTTTTTGCGCCATGCTTTCGGGGACTCCGAGTCCTTTTGGAGGACTCAAAAACAAATCCAGCGCGACCCCTCCGCCATGCTTTCGGGGACTCCGAGCCATTTTGGAATTGACTCCGAAACCGACACCTCTGCCGAGTCTCCAGCGACTGCACCTCCAGGGGCACGGGCATGCGATGCCCTAGAGACCTCTCTGCGAAGGCCTCTATGGGCGGCATCTCGGAGAAGGTCTCGCGCGACCAACAACCGCGTGGCGCTTTTCTTGGGGGACAACCCCATTCTTTCCAGGGATCCGAATTCCAGAAAACCAGAAAGAACCCCAGGGGAAACAGCGATCGGTTTTTGAACAGAACGATGGTGGAAAAGAATGGGGAATCAACCCCTAGAGCTTTTGCCCCTTGGGGCCACCCGATTTGGCGGTCAATAGAAACGGTTTAACCCCAATTTGGGGGTTACCCCTATGGAAACAAGGACGAGTTCACCTGCGGTGCATATCCTGGTGGTTGGATATGACTTTGACCCCTTCCCCTAGTTGAGTCACAGAAAAACCCCCAAACCAGTTGGTCGGCCTGCGTGAAAAAACCTTGTTCATGGGCCCAGCAACAACAGGTAGGGGGCCAACAAAAGGGGCCTGCAAGGGAAACTTCACATCGCCAAGGTTGGGTCCTCCCTAAAACAATTGTCCAGCACGTAACATGAAAAACACACAGTTGGGTGAACGCAAATACACTCAACTGTGATCCTAGGGTCTGTTTTCTTCCCAACCATACATAACCCACCAAAGGAAGCATTGGAATTTCAGAAAGGGGCACCCAATAACCCAACCCTACTGTGGACGGACGAAATGGGCACCACGAAATGAGACCATGGTTGAGACCATAACGTTTGTTTGGATTCACGTTGGGGAATCGAATCAGAAACCAGGGTTTCTGAATGGTGCGAAATGGATTTCAAAAAAACATTCACAGTAGAAAATGGAAAACAAGGGGACGCCACTTATTTTGGAGGGTTCCCAAACAGGGGCGCATCAAGGAGCCCCCAAAAGTGGGCGGGCTTCCTTTTGGTTTCATCCACCAAAAAGGGGGGAAGAGGGCGTGGTATTGAGACCCTTTGAGCCTGGGGCAAACGTCGAGTCCGCGACTTCCGGCGGCCGCTGCCCATGCTCCCAGTAGGGCCCAACGTGTCATCCGCCTGGCGGAAAGGGCTTCCGCAGCCAAGGGCTCCGAAGGGGATCGATCAGCAACAAGCCAAGCAAGCCAGCAACCCATCAACCAAACACGCCTGCAAAAATAGAGTGAGTAACAGCACACAACAAGCAGCAACGGGCTGCTAACAACTCAACCAAAAGTCCGCCGACATTGCTCGGCGTGTCGGACACCTAAGAGAGGATAGAGAATAACCCCCCCCCCCCCCAACCTACGTGGGGGGGTGGGCCCCCCCACCAAGGACCGCGCGGCAATTTGATGACGTTCCACAAAACAGCCCTGCCGGCTCTTTGCTGGTTTGGGGTTCCTGCCTCCTTTTGCCTGGAAAACTCTGTGTTTTTGGACGTCCTAATTGCGAAAACGCTGGAAAAACCGTGTTTTTTTTGCGGGAAATATTGGGGAGCAAAGGGGAAATGCAAGGAAGTGCAAGGGAATGAGGGGAGGAAATAGGAAGTCGACATGACAGGAAAGCAGCGGGACATGAAAGGGAAACAAAGAGGGAACTGAAAGGGACATGCAAGGGACAGAAATGAAAACAAAGGGAGTGCAGGGGGAAGGAAGGGAAACAACGCACAAGGAAACCAATCGGCACGACGGGAGATGTAGGGAAATGACTCGCAACGAAAGAACGGGACATACATGGAAAATGAAGCGGACATACCGAGAAAATGTCAGGGACATGAAGGGGGAGTTGAACGGCATGGAAGGGACAGGACCAGGACATCATGGGAAACGTGAAAAGGACATGAAGGGGAAATCAAGGGGAAAGCCAGTAGTGAGATGACAGTTCCGGGTCATGAAGGGGCAGTGCCCGGACATCGAGGCAACTCAGGGGGGGACGTGACGCTGCAATGCAGAGAGAGAGAGAGAGAGAGAGAGAGCGGGAGAGAGAGAGGGAGGGAGAGAGAGAGAGAGAGAGAGCGAGACACAGAGAGTGAGAAGAGAGAGAGAGAGAGAGAGAGAGAGAGAGACAGAGACAGAGCCAGAGACAGAGCCAGAATCAGAGAAACAGAGAAAGAGACAGACAGAGAGAGCGACAGCGAGAGAGAGAAAGACAGAGACTGAGAAAGAGAGACACAGAAAGACAGAGAGAGAGAGAGAGAGAGAAAGAGCGAGAAAGTGAGAGAGTAGAGAGGTTCGAATTAGGGTACCCTTTTTCTGTAGAGGGGCGTGGACAGGAAGGAGACAGGGAGACAGAAAGAGACAGAGAAACAGAGACAGCGAGAGAGAGAGAGAGAGAGAGAGAGAGAGAGAGAGAGAGAGAGAGAGAGAGAGAGAGAGAGAGAGAGAGAGAGAGAGACAGAGAGCTGGAGATTGAGGAGAGAGAGGCTTGGGGGGATGGGGAGGATGGGGAGCAGAGGGAGGGAGAGAGGACGACAGAACGGAGAAAAGGGAGAGGACAATGTCGGCGGACTGAGCCGGAGGCTCTAAAGTATATTGGCCCTTCGCAGCTTCCGCTCAAAAACGAAAAGCAGAAGCAAAACCCGGTTGCCATTTGGTTCAGCACAGGTCTACTGGGCTACTAGGCCTAAGGCAAGGATTTCCAAGAGCCTCTAGGCCGCAGCAAAAGCCCAGCGGTTGCTCGATCCGATTCCATAAGTCCAAACCTTTGGGCCCCAAAAAAACTCCGAACACCAAGCCAGGATCCGCCAAAAAAGAAATCCCCCCTTTTCTTCCAAGGGCTTCTTGAAGCTGAGACCAACCCATTTCAGCGTCCCATTTGCGTCGCCCGCCTGCATCCGCTCGATGAGCTTGGCCGTCTGGTACGACCTCTGGTGCCGATGCATCCAGTCGTGCTGCCCCGCCTGGCTCCAGGCCGAGACGCCTGGCGCCGGTTGGCCCGTGGCTCTCAGAGGTCTGAGACAAGCGATAGGAACCGCGAAGACAGGGTTCCGGATGCAGTGAATACACCGATCGAACATTGCAACTTGTAAATGGTGGTGTCCCTTTATTTTGGTCTAGAAAAGCAACATGTTTCACTGGGTTGCAAAATGTATATTTTAGTGAGGCCTGGCTAAGTTAAGGCGAAAAGTCTTTTCTAGCTCAACTCCGCACGGAAGGGGTACCGAAACACGACAAAGACAAGAAAAGCAACGGGCATCTTGTGTCTCTTTGGGGTCATGGGTCCACCGAGGTGACGAGCGAGATGTCCCACAGAGGCAGAGAAGTTTGCCCCGGAACCCCGGAATCCGGGCCCAGCGGGCGGGGTTCAAGCAAGGTTGGGACATCAGATGCCACAAAAGTCACTGGATTTCCCCATATCCACCGTTGTTTGGCAAGTCACTGGGGGTGTCCCTTGAAGCTGCCACTTTTGAAGCTAAAAAAAAAGAAATGGAGAAAACCCTTGTGCTGGGCAAGGGCTCAAGAGCCCATTTCTCCGGCTGGGGTCCAAAAAGCCCCTCAAAGCGGCGTGTTTTTGTTGACATGTGTGATACCAGTGGGACTCCCATAGAACGACTTGATCACTTTAAAGGTGATTCCCTTGGTAATACAGAAAAGGGGAACCTAAAGCTGTTTTTGCAAATGTCTTCTTTTGACAGTACTCTTTTTCCAGGGAAATCCACCAGAAAGTGGTAGCCTAACTCCATATCTTCAACATGAGCCACGCAAATCCCCCCCCTTTTCGAATGGGCTTGTGTGACCCATGGCATGCCCTCACTAAGTGATGGCGGTTGCTCAAATGGGCGTCTCAAAATGGGATTCGGAACCCTCAAAATGGCAAAGGTGTTTTTTTCAGCATCAAAATGGCAAGGGTTTCCTGTTCGGTCCCTTTATACAAACCAACCAATCAATTGGGTTCCGAGCCTCAAAATATATGGCACGGGTTTCCTGTTGGTTTCCCTGTATACAAACCAACCGGACAATTGGGTACCGAGCCCCCCGCCGAAGCGCTTCCCGGATTGCCTGCCTGACTCTTCGGAGTTAAAGGTCCCACGCCGACCCGGACTCCTTCGAAGCAAGATTTCCTGCAGCTCCTGATCGCCCAAATCACCGTGGATTTCCAAGAAAATTGCATATTTTCCCATGACCAGCTGGGTTTCCAGTTGGATTTTCAGTGAAGGTCCGTTCAGTGTCCATTTTGGACCCTTTTTGGGATCTGGCTGCCTTTTACAGAGGATAAGACCTACGCAAAATGTCCATAATCCCCTGGGTGTCCGACCTTTCTTTTGTTGGTTGATTTCACATGTCCAAGGAAACCCACGAAAGGGCCAAAAGGAATAAAAACCAGTCGCCTATTTTGAGAGGGGCCCTCTGAAAGGTAGCGGCAAGAGAGGCCCAACTTACACTGCCGGTTGAAGAGACCTCAAGTTCTATCAGGCTTCCCAGGCGTAGCTTACTGGCGCAACTTTGGGCAAGGGGAAGGGGCCCCCGTCGCAAAACGAGCCGGGGGCCCCTCCAAACCGGTACGGGTGGTTTCCCGATGTCTCACAGGGGAATCCGAGAAGTGGCTTCCTTGTAGCGTCCTGACCCCTTTCAAGGGTACCCTCAAAAATAAACGCGCGAGGGTCCATTTTCCGACTCCCATCTGAGCCTTAGCCGTCCTGAATTGTTTCTTCTAGAAATGAGTCCTCCCCTTCTTGCTGCTCCCAATAGACAAATCGCATATCTTGACCGAACCTCTCTCTGGCTTTTCTTGGTACCCGTCTTTTTCGCTGCTTTGCAGGGAACAGAAGGAAAGCCACGAATTGTTCGGGCTCCGCATTTTAGACCGACCCCCCCAACCCCCAGCCCCCCCAATCCCCGGTCCCAGGACAGGTCGGAGACCAGGCCGGTGCGCATCGTTGCAAACTCCTGCCTGAGTCTTCAACGACCAAACTCACATCCTTCCATTTGCTTTTCCGCCCCCCGGAAAAAGTAAAATAACTTCCAGTAGTGATAGATCCCTTTTTAAAACCAACAAGGGCACATAAAAAGTATTCTTAAGCAAATGGAGGCATCGAATGGAGGAATGCCCGGCGACATGGTCGGTAGCTGAAAAAACAGGCTTAACCACTTCGTGCTGAGTCTCGCACCATCTTGGGTAGGGAAAAGGTCCGGCGGCAAAATCGTCAGCCAAACCACAAGGCAGGAGACCCACACTGGATACAAACGAACAGACAAACAAACAGACAGACAGACAGAAAGACGAACAAACAAGAAAGCAAGCAAGCCAACAAACAAACAAACAAACAAACAAACAAACAAACAAACAAAAAAACAAACACAATCCATCCATCCAATCCGATCCAATCCCACCCAATCAAAGCCAAACCAATCCAAGCCAATCATCCAATGGAATCTGACCCAATCTAATCCAATCCAATCCATCCAATCAATCAACAACAATATAACAATCAAAATCAGTCAAAGTCAATCAAAACACTCCAAAACAATCTAAGCCAACCCAGTCCATTCCAATCCAATCCATCAATCAAATCAGGCAAACAACCAAACAAACAAACAACCAAACAAACAAACAAACCCAACCAAGCCAAGCCAAGCCAAGCCAAGCCAAGCCAAGCCAACAAAACAAACAGACAGACAGGTGGGCAGGCAGGCAAGCAAGCAAGCAAGCAAGCAAAGAATCAGAGCAAAGAATCAGAGCAAATACAAAGAAAATACAAAGCAAGTAAACAATGCAAAGCATACACGCAAAGCGAAACAACGAGTAAAAGCAGTGGCAAAAGCAAAACAAAGCAAGGGGTGCAAAGCGAGCAAGCGAGCGAGCACGCAAGGCAAGCAAGCAAGCGAGCAAGCAAGCAAGCAAGCGAGCAAGCAAGCAAGCAAGCGAGCGAGCAAGCAAGCAAGCAAGCAAGCAAGCAAAGAAGCAAGCAAGCCAAGCATCCAAAGCAAGCAAAGCACATGCTAAGGATCGATTCTCTGTGAGTCATTTGCGATTGAAGTCAGCGTGCCCCGATGCTTCCATTGGGCAGGTATTCAGCTGGACGGGCCAGGGATGGAACATGAAGGGAGCCATTGATCTGAGCTGCACAGCCATCATAACAGGACTGGGGTCCCTATAGACCGCAGATTTTAGTCCATGTTTCCATTCACCATGGTTCATTTGTCCATTTACCGCGGATGTTAGTCTATTTTTGACCCACTGCCATATGTCCCATCTACATCACACAAAGGACACTCTCCCTGAAATCGGCAAGCGGGATTTTTCGCCACGGGAGCTGATGAAATGGGCAGGTGTTCGGCGGCAGGTATTGACCAACATGTTTCGCGATTCAAAGTCCGAATTGCAAAATGCTTGAACATGTCCAACTCACCGTTCAATGTTCATCTTTCACGTTTCCCATGGCTTCACGGAAACCTTTTTCATCAGTGCCCAGGCTCAACCAACAAAGTCACTCGCTGATGCTTGTCAGTGGAGTAGGGCCCCAAAAACTGACGTTTGAGAATCATTGAACATCGAATCAAACTCGCAAGCTCGGAACTTCACCCCTGCAAAGAGTTGACTTTCTGATGCCTTCTGCAAAAAAACAACAGAAGGTGATGGACAGCCAGCTCCCCTTCTGACAGCGCGCCTGATCAGGTCTGCCATACTTTCCCACTTCTCGTCCACAGAGCGCACCCGGAACATCTCCATCGATACCGTGGCGTGCACCCGGATGGGTTGGAGACCAAAACCGGATGCGTTTCGGAGGCGTCAACAGAAAGGGGTTTGGTTGGAACAAAGATCCGGAGGCCACTTGGCCGGACGATTGCTACAGGCTTTCTGGTGTATTTGCCAGCAGTCTCGGCATGCAATTCCAGCTTTCCTGCAAAGCACACAGGATGCTTCGTTGTCGAACGATGGCAAGTTGCCCCACATCTGGTGCACCGCAAATCATATTTTCAGGCTGTGTTAACCATGTGTACTCTACCCTAATAAGCGAAACAGTTTTGAAGGACACCCTATCAAAGACGGGGGGAATAAGTTGCCCAACTTGTTGCTTAGCTTTGCCTCATGCGGACCAGGGTCGGCTACGTAGCCTGTTCTGAGCGGAATCACCTCGGTGAGTTTTGTCCCTTGCCACCTTCACCTGAAAGCGTGCGGGCCGGACCCTTCACGTTCTTCGTTACTCAAGGCAAACTCCAGACTCGTCCCCAAGACTTCAATGACAGTTGATTCCCCAAATGTTGCAAATGAGCCAACCACATCTCAAGAAACCCTGGAAGCGCAGCAGCCAGCTTACCATTGGCCATGGGAAAAGAAGGCCACTGATTTGGCAGTTGATTTTAAGGCGAAACACCCCTCCAGAGAATAAAGGCATCACCCGAGGGCTGGTTCGAGTTTCCCTTCGTCCGATCTCCGCACCGTGAGGCACCGAGATCGCATTTTGTCCTTCTCCGCGCCGCAGGATGCCCTTGGCACTACAAACGATGCCGGAGCCATGAAGAATAAGTGGGTGCTCGGGCTACGTAGGGGCCTCAGCGCAAGCATGCATGTAACTTATATGCATGTGTAGATATGTATGTATGTAGTAACACATGTACCACTTATAATGTAGGTGTATATATATATATATATGTACGTGTATATACATATATATATATATACATATGTCTATGTATATATATATAAATATATGTATATATATATATATGTATGTATGTATCTGTCTCATCCCCTGACTCGCCCAATCCGATCTGCCGATTCGCCCCTTGAGGGCCCTCGTAGATCGCTGGCTCCCTTTGGGAGCCTCTTCCGCACTCCCAGAGCCGACACTTGGCCGAAAAGCCCGCAAACCCAGAGAAAACAGCTGAAGACGTGGCTGTGGGTCATCGTTTGTTGGTATTAGCTCCCAACCACCGAATCAGAGCCAAAAGGCAACCCGGCGCTACCGACCGACCAGCCAGCCAGCCAGCCAGCCAGGGGACCATCATCGCGCGTAGAGATCAGCAAAAATTCTGCCTGAAATGGAGTGCGATGCGTTTATGCAATGGGGAACATCGGCTTCAAAAACACTCGGACATGAAGCCCAGCAAAAATGCTATGAATTTGAATTGGAGCATACGCACCAATCTGATTGGTGGATAGTTTAATGTAGACCTTTCTACCCATCTTGGTACCACACGTCAATAAGTGTGGGCAGGAGTTTGCGAGCCGGCCTGTCAGAACATGCGCCAAGGGGACACACGGCCAACCCTCTGCCGGAGATTGCGTCTGCCGAAGAGGTGGTGCCTGTTTGGCTGCGGGTCAAAGATCAGTACCCGAAATGGAACCATGGGCTAGAACCTGAGCCGCACTCCCTGGCGGTTTAATTGACCTATGCCCATGTCACGCGATCACTTCGAATCCCGGCAGCCGTGACCGTGGCAGCTTGGATAGCCCACAAGCTTGTACACTTGTACACCGCCAGAGCTTGGCAGGACAGGGCAGGCACAGCAAAGGAATCAGCTAAGAACATTGCTCTAACACCTTCAGCTTCGATTCTCCTCAAACCAATTCACGCTGTCCACCAACCCAAAACCAGGGACTGCGTTGGTTCACAACGCCCCCGGCCAAATCTCGAAAAATTGGCCATTTCGCCACCAGAAGTCGGTCATGGGATGGTATGTATTAGCAAAACTCCTGGGATAGGAATCCTTACCTGGTTGTCTACAACCCCAAAGGGATTGATGACCACCCCTAGCACAGGAACCAGTGTATATATTGACCATGGCATTGGAGAAGTCTTGAAGTCTTGCTCTGCAAACCATGGCTTCATTCTGGCTGGCTTCAACCACTGAAGATTCTGGAGGGGGAATCTTCCGTGGGGGGGGTATTTCAGCCCAACCCCACACCCTCATTCCCCCCAATGTGGCGTCTCTGGTGTGCCTGTGTCCATATGGGTATGTCTTCTTTTTGGGCCCCCCCATCAAAAAGAAACACCTATACAGCATGGGGGTTTTCCCAAATTTGGGGGGGGCCTAAAGCTAAGTAGCTTCCCCTGCCTTTACTTCCACTCGCGGATAGGACTCGGGACACACCGCCACATGGCGACTCCGCCGCTCTGCGGTATTTTACAGCGCACAGAAGACGGTGACGGGAGCTCGCCAAAGTGTAAGCCCCGAGTGCTTCGTGGGAAAAAGCTTTAAGTTCTAGTGGGATATCGTCACAAATACGCTGAAGGTCCACAGGTCGGGTTGGGGGCTGAAGAGTTGTGCCCGAAACCTCGTGTTGTCGAAGTGCTTCAAGGGTCCCACTGGTGTGAAAGTGGCACAGTAAATACTGCTTCCCTGTTTGACATGGTTGCGGAAAATGCTGCGTTGTTTCCGCGATACCGAAGCCGGCCATCCTGATGACTACTTTATGACAAGAAGGGGGATTGCCTCGGTGTTGACCTCAAAAGAGGGCTCTCCTGCACCATGCTGGCGGGCTTTCAAAAAGTGGGAAAACGCTCGAGGGGGATTCTAACAAGTGGCTGAACTTCTGAAGGTTGCACCTGAGGTTTCACCCATCCTTGCGCGAGGAATACTCAAGTTCCCGGTGCTTTTCACCCTCCCAAGCTCAGATGACGGCGCTTAAGACCACATTCGGGGCTGCAACACTGGCTGGCCAAATTACCCTCCAGCCAAACTGGTCATTATTTACACCAGAAAAAGAGGAATCCCCTGAAGGAACATATCATGGTGGGATCATGTCACCCCGTTCGGCAAGCTCATGGAAGACAAGGCGCATGGAGGAATTGGCCAAAAAAAGGTCAGCGGTTCCTCACATGTGGTATGGCACCCATGGGTCGCTTCAGAAACACCCATCTTCCCTTAATAGGTTTGGGCCATTTTCGGTGGATCCATCTTCAGATGGAATCGAATGGTCCCACCTTTCTGAGAAGGATCCAAGGACTGAGAATGGAATCGAAAGGACCATTGGGCTGAATCCACAGAACTTTGTTCAAAGGAAAAGTGGATCTGTCTTTCTTCTGAGATACGCCTGTTTGGTTAATTTTAAGAGGAAACCAAAAGGAAAACCACAATGTTGTGTTTCCTTTGGGTGGGGGGGGGGTCCACTAAAAGAGACACACCCAAGTCACCGGTTTTCTCAAACTACGGTGCCCTGTGCGGTGCTGCAGGTGCTCGGCCTCCGCGTGATCATGGCTTTCACCGAATCAAGCTCCTGTCGCGAGAGAACAAGCGATTTGAGGCAAACTGGTGCAGACATCCCTAGCCCAAGACCCCCGTCATACTGTGGATGGACGAAATCCATTTCGCACCAACCTAAGAAACGACGGGAACCCCTTGTCCGTTGGTATTTACAGGGGAATCATCATTCCAGGGTTTCTTAGCCTTGTTTGACGTTGGAAGGGGAGCGAAAATTGAAAATTCTAGCATTTAAGTGCGGACTTCAACCACGAAACCACAAGAAGCAAAACTGGTCAAAATGGTTCCCGTTGCAACCACCATGCAGCTGGTGCGAAGCTCCGCTCCCAGGGCATCCAAAGGCGGTTGGCGCAGCAGAACCTCGCTATGTCTGACTCTGATCAGCTACGGAACCCAAAAATACGCGTTCCAAAGAGATGCCAGACATTGACACAATTCAAGGGCCACAACATGTAAGCTCAGCAAAGCTCTGCGTGGATGGGATGCTTGATCTTAACAAACCCTCCCTAGGGAGTTGTGTCTTTGCAAAGGTAGTTCCTGAAAGAGAGTGTCAAAAGTACTTCCAACAGCCCCCTCAGGAGCCTCACAAAAATAAATACCCTGGTTCGGGAGCCTCCCTGGTTCCCGAACCGACAATTGGCGTGAACTCTTGCCCCAAGTACAGGTCGAATAACTGGCGGGTCAAAACCGTTTTGGTACCATGTTGGTTGGTAGGTGAATTCACCACCCATTTCAGAACCTATTTTAGTGGTTGGATTGGGATGTTCACAGGGGGCCAACCGATTTGGATTTTGACCCATGGCCTTTTCTTCTGCCACTCGAACCAAAGTTGCCTGCAGGGAAGCCAAGGAAGCCAAGGCCAGTCACTCCGAGGAGAACAGCCTTCACAACCCTTGGCATGGTTGCAACCAACTGCTTGCTTTTCTGCAGCCCCCGGTTGAAATTGAACCAAAAAACAAGAGAGTTGCCAGGAACAGTGAAGACTAAGTTGAACCATGGCGAATCCTGTTGCAGTCCTAGCTCCAGTGCAAGCAGTCAAACGTGATCTTCTTGGCTCACTGCTTTGTGCAAGGCGCCACAATGGCTTTTCTTTCTTTGAACTCACGGCAGAAAGAAGAAGCTGACCAAACAAAAACCTGAGCTGAGCAACCTTCCGTCATGCATCAGACAGCTATTTGAGTCATATCGAGGCTACATCATAGCCTGTGCCAAGATTGTCCTCCGGGACGATGTGCAATGAAGGAAATGAGTTCGTTTGAGACCTGATCCTGCACAAGTATGAATTCTACTTGTGGGAAGGAACCGGCTTCGTGGCCGGATGGCCATACGATTGCCCCCTTCCATACGGGATTAATATAGGGGATGGACAAAGGGAATGAAAAAAGGGGATGGATATGCAGGGGTCACTGGATTTCCAACCAATTCAAACGTTCATACATCTACTGGTGTCCATCACGATCAGAAACCAAGAGGTGGTTCCCCAAAAGGGGGAAACGGGGGGTACACCCTGTCAAAACCGCAACTTGATGCTTTCTTCCGGGAGGATGCAGACAGCCCCTCCTCTTGGCCCCCTTGACATGGTTGGTCCTTGGGTTCCTAGCCCAAGGGCTGCCGGCCTTCAGCTGGCTCGCGTGGAAGCGCTTCATCTCTCGTGCCAGCATGATCCTTGGTCCAAGCCGGCGTTCCCCCACCTGACATGATATGTTTGAGTCTGGTCCACAGTCAGAACAGTCGGTGAACATGACACTGCAAAAAAAATAGCTTCAGAGATCCCAGGAATATCGCAGGCTGGGCATTGATCCAATTTCAGGCCGTCTATCTTTAGCATGTAGCCATCAGTTCAATTTGGTACAGAGGGCCACACCCCAAGGGGTACACGACAAAATCATATTGGTTGTCAAAAAGTTGATATGTCGAGTAGGGATTTGGACATTTCCCCCGGGTTTCCCTTTAAACCAACCGAAAAGCCTACCGAGCCTCCAAAAAAAACGCACAATGGGCAGAAAAATCGTCTTCCGGGTCAAATGTCCCCTTCCTCTCCACAAATCTCGGAGAACTGGCTGTGGTTGTCAAAAATAGGGCAACCCCAAAATGGGTCAAGCCCTAAAGGGAAACCATGCCTAACACCCGTGGCCCATCTCCTGGCTGAAAATTGTTCGACCCACCCGGACGAGGCGCAGGTCGGAGCTCTTCGCGGCCCCGTTCAGGCGCAGCGAGCCTTCCAGAAACTCCTCGAAGTTGATCTGCAGAAGCAGCCCACGTCACCCCGAAGAAGAAAAAAAAAGAACGGCGATGTCCTACAGGAAAAATATTGGGCGCTGTAGATCCCCCAGCAAAAAGTGGAAACAAGTTTTGCTGGTTGAAAGGAAATATGAAGGGAATCCAAAAAGTTAAGGTCTAAAGATCCAACCCAATAGCAGTAGAGAAATGGTAAGAAACCACCCACCCAAAACCCGAAAACAAAAAACCAGTGGGACTAATTATTGGGTCGCCCAAGTTTTCCAATGGCTGGAATTCAATCACGGAAATGGCGATGCTCTTTTTCCGGGGAGCTCCCCGACGGTCCAAATTACGAACCTTTCCCAAAAGGACATGGTCGAAGTTTCGCGAGTCTGGTTGTGGTTGGAGCTTAGAGACCGATGTCGCACCCGCTGGGTGGAAGTCGTTGGTCAATTAAATCAAGGACTGCAGAAAGAAAATACCGCGGGTGCATCCCTTGCGTCCCAGTCCAAACTCATAGGAATTCTTGCCATGGTCGTGCAACTCTTATGGGCGTTCTCGGGACAGCTTCTGGCTCTTCATCGGATACCGGTGCAGAGTTGGCCTCTTTGATGGGTCCGAAAAAGAAAAAGAAAAAACAAAAGACGGTTTTCAAAAGTGAGCTTTTCCCCCAACAGCTGAAAGCGTTGGGGCCTCAGCCCAGATAGGCTCCGGGGTGGTCCGGGGCGGCCCTGAGGTAAGGTTCCACGAGGTTCCAGGGTTCCACCCGGGTTCCACGGCCCTGAGGTAATGTTCCACAGCATTCCACAGGGTTCCACAAGAGTTCCACGAGGGTTCCACGAAGGTTCCACGAGGTTCCGCGAGGGCTATGGGTTCCACAAGGCTGCTGCTTTACAGCTCAGACAGCCTAAGCAAAACCGGCGGCGGTGGATTGACTTGGTAGGTGTGGAGCTTCCCGGCCCCGATTGCGCCGTCGGGCCTAGGCTGTACCTTAACAGCTAAAGCGACTGCTGCTGGGGATATCACCTGAGCTTATTTTGTATCGGTTCCGGCTTTAGGAATCTCCGAGGACTGGAACGCGGTCACGGACTGTCAGGATACCGTGGATGGACGAAATCCCGCACGATGATTCCCTGTAGCGACTCCATCCGCAGCATGATCCGTCATTTTGCTGTTCCCCGAAATGGAAAGACCCCTGGCTTCGCGGCAAAAGTCAGAGTACGCCATGTGGCTATGAATTTTAATGGGGAACCCCCTAAAAAGTAATTGGTGGACATACATCCCCACCTAAATGATGTCCACCAAAGGGTCCCTAATTAACATTCATACCCATGTCTTCCCCAAATGGACCACAGAAATGGAAAGCCGATGGACGCAAACAAGGGGGTTGTTAGTCAAGTTTATCCTCAGTTGGGTGAAAGTAGATGGTGCCATTCCCGCATGTTTCCTAATCACCATCAACTTGCACCCTGGAATGTAAGGCAAAATAATGTGCGGTACAATATTGGGGTAGCGGGCCATTTCAACTAGTTTCATATGGGAGGCTATATAATGACACGCCTTATTCTCTTATGACCATGGCTTAAGCTAGTTTTATAAAGAACCCCGCAACCCCATTCAAATTGTCTAAGCCCTTGCACTGCAGACTGGAGGCAACCAAGACTTGTCTTTCTGATTTTACATGGTTTTCCCTGGTTCTGGGGGGGAATGGATCTGGGTCTCCCAATTCTCCAAGAAACTAGCAAAATTGAAATTATTCGTTTGAAATCACCGTTTTGGGTGCCAATTCCCTACAGACATGTTTCTATGAAAAGGGAAACACCTAACATAGTTTCCTTTTGGTTGGAACGCCTATGGTTTCCTTTTTGTTCCCCTGCAAAAGCATCCCAAAAGGGTATCATCCCAAACAAAAAGGGGTACCAATGGTTGGTTTCCTCACTTGCCCAGGGACTGGAAAAGGTTCGCCTTTTGGAAGCCAAAAAACAACCAAAAAACGTCTGCAAATCGAATCGCAACAAGGCCTTGAGCTTCTATGACATTCTTCCACCGGGGTGTTGGGGGCTCCCTTTTTCACCCAAAACGCCGGGTGAAAACCCCTTGGTTTTCGCCCCCCCCCCCCCCCCTTTTCCGGGCGCCGCCGCCTTTCCGTTCCCGTCGATATCGATGACCTCCAGGAGGCCCTTGGCCTCTGAGGGGTCGATGTCGATGGTCTCGAAGAACTCCAGCCTGAGCGCCCGAAACTCGCCGGCGAGGTGGTGCCAGAGAAGCAGATGAGACATGGCCCATGAGCCCCGAGAAAAACCACTTTCATTGGTTTCTTTTCAGGGGACCCCCACCAAACTGGTTACTAGGTTTGCTGGTTCGAAGGCAGGGAACGAGTTGGAATGATCCCGAAAAACCATCCCCCGGGTCATTCCCAACACCCGGACTCGGTCATTCCCTGAGCACCAGCAAGAAACCCTTGATCCCGGGCCGTTCGCCTCTTTTGAATGGAACAAAAACAGGAAGCCCCCCGAAAAGAAGATTCCTCTAAACTTCAAAACATGATGCTTTAACTTGGGGTTCATATCTGCAAGCCTCAGACTCATTTCAGATTGGCCGTCAGCCTGACTTTTCCCTGGGGCAACCCCCGACACTCTCACCTGCCCAAAGGACCTGGGAATAAGGGGCTAAGTAGTGAGTGGGGTTTTCGAGTGTAAAATCATAGTCATGATTCTAAGAGCAAACTATTCCGCAATTAGCCCTTTTTTATCCATTCGGTGTGTCGAATCCCCCGCACAAAATGGTCAACCCGATTCTCACCCAAGGACCTGGGGAAATTGCCCAGAAACCGTCAGCTTGGACGGTGTCGCTCGGTCCGCCGAGCAGCACCGCGGGGGTTTCTGTGTGGTCTAGGATCTCGTCCGGGCTGATAAACCCCGAGCCGTCCCGATCGATCTCGCGGAACAGGCGCCGCGCCTACCCGCGAAGCGGGTGGGCTCTCGAGGCTTCTTGGAGGTTGCACCCCTTGCTTGGGGTGGGGAATCACACGGAAAAGCATGCCTTTTTGTTGGGATTGTTTTTCGCGCATGTGGAGGCCAGCCCCTGTGGCTGTGTGTCAAAACCCGGGATGGTTGGGAAAAACGGGCAGGGCCGTCCCTGGGCCCCCCGCAAGGTTCTGATCGGGTTTTCTCTGGTCGCTTTGGGAAATTGGCGAATGATTTGGAGCCCAAAGGTCTGCAGGCGAAGAGTTGGGTTGCTGTCCATTTGGCGGTGGGTAAAAGATAGGTACCCCAAATGGCTTGCCCTGGTAAATGGAACCAGGACTAAAACCTGCGGTCGCCCGGTGGTCTAATTTTCACCCGTACTCATTTACCCTGAACAGGAACCAGGGGTTCAAATCCGAGTCCAAACAAACCACTAAGATGGTCATTCGGGAATTCACCTCAAATTGGCAATGAACCGTTGGGATGCGAAAGGAACCGTTAAGATGTGCCCTCATTTGCTATCCACGCACCAAGCACGATTTTGACTTTTTGTGAAGCATGGAGCACTAACTACCACAAACCGCCCACATGGCGTCAAGAGGCCGCAGGAGAACTGAAACCTCGGGGACAAGAAGAATTAAACAAGCATCTGAGCTTTGGCAGGCTGCATTCAAAGCCAAAGCTTCAAAAGGACCAAGCTTCGAAGGGGAGAAGGTTGCTGTGGATGGACGAAATCCATTTCACACCAGTTCGATTCCATGGTTGAAATCATGTGCAAAATGGTTTTTGCAACCATCTACAGTATGTCTCAAAATCTTGGCCTCTTTATGGTTTCCGCAGTCAGAGAGCCCTGAAAAGGGGGGGTGATTTGGAGACAAACCTCCGATATGTTTCCGCCCAAACCCACAACTCCCAGTGGAGAATGGGCAAGTACCCCCCACCGACTAACATGGAAGTGCACAAACCGCCTTTCCAAGAGGACATAGTCTTTCTACAGGGGTCTGTGCACTAACCCATGTTCGTCGGTGGGATCTTGTGAATAAAGACAGCCGTCTACCCAGTTGAGTATTCCCCAAAAGCTGAACATCTCTTGCCCGGGCCTCTTCAGCCCATTTTGGGGCCCTCACCCACGCTCTGGGCGGAATCCGCTGAACAACCATTTGGTCCAAGCCAAGCCCACACGCTTGATGGTCCATCCGCCCCACGACCCGAAGACCTTCAAAACCGGGTGTCCAAAAAGACACGTCTTCCAAAACAAAACAAAACACCCAAACATCCAAAAGTCCCCCGGCTCTTTCCCTTTTTCGTTTTTTTCTTGTTTCGCGTCTCCGGATCTTCGAAGGAGAATCATCCAACTTGACTCACCCGACGGATCGATCGGATCGATCGGATCGATCAGATCGATCGGATCGACGGATCGCGATCCTGGTAGATCCGATTCCTCAACTGCAGCTCCTTGGCTTGTTGGCTCATCGTCTCTACAAAGGTGCCTCCAGCGAAATGACCGCGAAACGGCGCTTTCGGCCGGCGTTTCGGCCGGAAGAAAGGGAGATGGATGGTTGGTTGAAACCCAAGGGTGTGTCATCACAAAGGAAAAGGGGGGACCCAGTTTGGGGGGGGGGGGGGTATGTTTAAGGGGGGCCATTTGGATGGGCTCTCTATTTTCGCACAAGTGGAGTGTCGAGAGAAGGCAAGTGGGAAAGAGCCACAATTGGACGAGAATGGCCGCAAAGTGTCCGGTACTCTTTGAGAACTGATGTTTGAGAGGGTCCCCTTGAAACCACAAGGCAACCATGTGGAAGAGTCAGCGCTCAAGAGATTTCCATGTTGTGTGTTGGAAAGGGTCCATTTCAAAACGGTAACCAATTTTATAGCTGGTGAAACCAGCTGTGGCCAGCCCTGAGGGGTATAGTGAGGGAGTTCCCAACGAAAGCCAAGCTGATTCCAAAGGTGTATGTGCTCCAAACAGTGCCAGGCCCGCTTTCGAGTTCATTGGGAAGAAGGGCACGGAAACCTTGCAATGCTCAGAAGTAGGGACGCCATGGTCAGAATCCTGGCTTCCCTTGCAAACGGCCCCAAATAAACTCGCAAAAGCGACATGTGGGGGTTGTCCAAACCTAAGGGCGAGGTTTAGTTACTTTCGTGTGCTTGCGCTCGCCCTTGCGCCTTCTTGCCGCGCGCAGCATTCTGCGCAAAGAGTTGGACATGCGTGTTTTGCTTAGGTTTTACTGGAATGCCCAAAAGTAAGCTCAAGGGGGGCTACTCAACTGTGGAAAGCAATGTTTTCAAGCTGTGAGAGCCTTGTGTCAAATCAGCAAACACGAAATCTTTCATTGTGGGTTCTCTCTGTCTGCTCGAGGACCAGCCGCGAAAGTCTCCAGACAATATGTTTTGGTTATAGCGCACCCAATGGGGCCAAGCACCCAAGTTTATGCTGGCCGCAAATCTGAGCGCCAGCTGAGCACCAGCTGGGCAACTCCTGGCTTGCCATAACCTACCTTGCGGCGACCTTGCGATTGCTTTGCGCCACACTTGCGCCTACTCCTGAGCCCCAATTTTGCAATTCTGTGCATAGAAGCAGCACGAAAGAATGAAAGGACAATGTGGGAATGGCTTGTCGTGTGCGTGTGCGCGTGTTTCAACTCATATGCAGCAGAAGCCAACAACACCACAAGATAGCAAGATCGCAGCAGCACCAACTCTTTGGACAAAAACAAACACTTGCGCTCGCCCTTGCGCCTTCTTGCGCGCCCCACGCGAGAACCATGCAAGAGAAGTAACTTCCTTACTAATGTTGTTTAACGGGGGTTTTGAACGACTCCCATGTGGCCATCTTCGAGAGGCACCCACCGTTTTTGAAGGGGTTTCCTTTTGGGAAGCCCAGTCCGGAAGCCGCCCAGAAATCCAGTCCGCGCGCCTGTGATCACGTTGAGCAGGGCTAAGATGCAAAAGGCCATGAAAACGATGAAGAGCAGTCCGAACCATGGAGAGATGCCGTCCACCAGCCTTGACTGGGCCGCAGCCACAAAGAATCAAAGGGCAATTCAAAAGGAAGTTGAACAGGGGAAGTGTTGTGTGGATGGTTACGAAATCCATTTCGCACCTCCGTTCTCAGAAACCCTGGAATGAGCATTCCCCAACGTATATACCAACAAACAATGGCTTCCATGGTTTCGAAGCAGTGCAGGATTTCGTCCATGCACAGTACGATTAGTTGGGTTGCAAACCTTTTTTGCAAGACAATCCCAACCCGTCCCATGGAACTGTCTGCCAAACCAGAAGCCAAGGGCAAACAGCTTACCTCACCTGCTTCACGAATTGGCCTTGTGCGCCCCAGGTGCCTAGCTTGAGAGAATAGTGGATCTTGTTGCCGCGCCCACAAATAGCCGCCCAAATGCTTAAATGCAACTTATCCGGCGCGGCCAGTGCTAAACAACCTTAAACACAAGGCACCATTTTGCCAAAGCACGTTCTGTATCATTGCAATCCCTGCAATGGCGGTTCAAATTGGGGCGCAGATCTCATGCGGGTTCTTTACTGTTTGTGTTGCTTTACCCTTCAAATACACAGGCCCAACCATTCATCTTGTAGCAGCTTTACCCTCGTTCGGTGAGCTCGGGTACGTGAGTACCTGACCAAAACACACAAAACAATAAGCTCTCTCATGGGTTCGCCTCAAAAGGGCTCACACTCAAAACCTGCTAAAGGGTCTGCCCATCGTCGGGTAATCAAGCGGGTGGATATCTGCACCCATGGCTGAGACTGTCCCTGCTGCATGGCCTCTCGCTCCCTGAACTGGGCTAAGTCCAAAATTCCTGTCTGCTTCCTACACTGGTTCCAACCAACCATGGGCCCCAGTGGATGTCCTTAGGAACACCCCAGTGGATGTCCTATTGGATGTCCTTGGGAACAAAAGAAATGGCACCTTTGGTCACCCCCTCCGAAAGTTCTCCACCACCCCCCTCCAAAAATGGAAACACCACATGTAAACTCCGAGTCTTCAACCCCCCCACAAAAGGCGGAAAAGCCTTTGTTGGTCACCCCCTCCAACCGAAGGGACCATGTCTTTCTGCGGTACCGCCGGTTTTGAAGGGAGAGTTCTCCACCAACCCCCCCTCCAAAAATGCAAGCACCACATATAAACTCCGAGTCGGAGTCAACCCCCCCCCCAAAAAAAAAAAGCAAAAAGGAAAAGAACAGAAATGGAAAAACAAAACCGAAACAAACAAACAAAAATCTGATGTCCATGGGTCGTGGTGTTTTGGAGGCACCCCCCATTTACTCCGATCACGGAGCGGGTCGGAGATCTGGTGCCAGTCCACTCCGCCGGTCACCCCCTGGAACCTCGTCAGAAGCCACGTGCGCTCGTCTTTCAGGATCTCAAAATGAGGTTTCAAGGATTTTGGCTTCACTAAGTTTGCTTTTTCTTTCAGGGTGAGGGTCTTTGAAGGTTGAACCTCTTCATTTCAAGAATTCAAGTTAACGCAGCAAGAATGCACAGTAACTGGTTGGTGATTGGAAACCTCCATGTTACTCCGTTGTTTACTCGGTGGTAATTAAGTGAGTATATGGTAATCCCGTACTCTTGTCCCTTACAGCCAGACGGTGTAATCGTTGGTTTCATGTTAAGAATTCAAATTAGCACAAGGAGAATGTACATTTCTTTGAGGGTTACTTCCACGCAATGTAACCCCGCTGAGTTAATTGGATTGACCGGCAAGAATGGGTGCCCTTGCTTGAGGCTTACAGGCTAACAAGGCAAAGGTCCAACAGGCTTAAAAGGCCCCAAAGGTCAAAACAGGGTTCAAAGCCTTGACAGGCTTAACAGAGGTGTTAAAGGGTTGAGGCCCAAGAGGGTTGCAAAACGGTGGACATGTCAAGGCTAAAGTTGAAAAGGTCGCGCAGGTGGGGCTTGAGGATGCGTTGGGGTCCGTGCCTCCCCCCCCCCAGCCCCCCAGTCAGCCGAGGAACAAGGACAGCACGCTCTGCGGCATGGACCCCCACCACCGCAGCATGTTCGCCTCAGGAGCTGAAGCAAAGCAACCCCATCGCAAAGGGTTTTCTTTGCTTTTGCTGTTGCTTCTTCAGCTGAAAGCTACTGTGGATGGACGAAATCCTGCACCACCTAAGAAACCTTGGGAATGATTTGCTTCCCCTGTAAATACCAACAAACAATGGTCCTCCATTGTTTCTTGGGTGGTGCGAAATGGATTTCGCAACCATCCACAGATAGGCCCTTCTCAAACCCCGGGCTCGAGACCTTGTGGGTGCCCTCGTTGGACTCCAGTCGGTACGCCGTGGCAGCCTGCGTGATGTAGACCTCGAAGCCAAACTTATCTTTCCAACTAACCTGGAAGTGCACAAAGCCCCTTTCCAAAAGGAAAGTAGTCTTTCTTCCGGGAGTCTGTGCACTTCCATGTTAGTGTGTGGGAGGGTGTTTCGGGGCGTATCTCTGGATTTCGAACTCCGGTTTTGCCTCGCACCAAATCATACACCCTGGAATCTCTGCTTCGATTCCCGACGGAAAGACCCAACCAAAGTGTATGGTTCCAACCACGGTGTCGTTTCGCGCTGGCGAGGGATTTCCTCCATCCAAGTTCCTCGCCTCGAATACCAGCAGGCCCGAAAGACTCGTTCGAAAAAGGCAACTCCTGTGGATTCTATGGCCACAACTCTTCCATTGGCTGAAACGAACATTCTTTGATCCTCCCTTGTTGGTGATAAAGGGAAATATGTTTATTTCTTTCCAGGGGGCTGAAGCAAATGGAAGAACCCAGAAGAAGGATCCTTCAGGATCTTTTACCTCCAGGTGAGCTCGCGCACAAAATAGCCTGACCTCTATGTACAATGACCACTCTGGACACCGGCTCCACAGACTCCTGCTCGACTGACCGAATTCGAATATGTCATCAGAACTTTTCCAATATTCCTTTGAGCAAACCCTACCCGAAGGAAAGAATCCTCATGAGAGGGTCGGAAAAATGATCCAAAGCTCTTTTGGAGCAGCTCAAACACTCCTTGGGGGCATGGTCTTTGGCTCCTTTAGCAGGAATCCTTTCCCATCTTTATCACAGTAGTTCGAAGGTTCGTGGGTATCTTCCCATTTGGTAGACTGGGTTCAGAATGAAGGGACCTTTCCAGAATCCATAGAGGACACTTCACGAGGGCTGGCATAAGAGTTCCCCTCTTAGGGTCAGCATGGTGCAGTTCGGAGGATCCATCTGGTTGCATGCGGTGCGTGCCAGACGTCCGAAGCGGCGGACGGGCCTATATAAATCTTAGCTTCGGAACCGCTTGGGCATTGGCATTGAGACTACTCACTGGTTTCCAAATCCTCAGAATTACCCAGGTGGTTTAAAGGGAAACCACCCAAAAGACTCTACATGTTCTTGGTTGCGGTGCATGGCCGAAGCCACCGAAAAACATGGCGAGAATAGGGCAGGTGAACTGCCCGTGGAGTGATCATAGATGTTGGTGTATGCTTGAGTAGCTTCGCCTCCTCAGGGCCTTGTTCTCCGAGTCCTATGACAAATTTGCCCATTGGACCTGGGGAATAAAAGGTCAACCTCTTGGGACCTCTACCAAAAATGGACCAAAAAGGAAAACCAAAAGGTCAAAAGGTCGGCTTTGAACAATTCCACGGCGCGATTCTCCCATCGAAACGCTCGTTGACCTTCTGGCACCCTGCCACCTCCCGGCGACCTGCGGCAAAGGAGCAGCTACCACGTAGATGGCCAACAGCAGCAGCAGGGCGGACCATAAGAATTGCCTCAGGCAAATGTAGAACGCAAACCAGGGCTGAGGAAACTTCATAAGCCGAGAAAACTACACTGCTTCTCCTATGAGCGTGACAACTTTGGGATCAAAAGCTGAAAGAAGGCCGAGATTTGGGACTCTGTTGCAAACCATGGGCAGACATGTGTAGCTGCACCACTGTCGATGAGATCGATGTATCTGTTGCTTGCGCCTTCTTGTTGTACCGTTGCTGTAGCAATGATCACTTCTTCAGGTCCCGAGACTACCAAAAGCATCTGTTCATTGCCTTGTTGTAGTGCCAGTTGTTGCTGATGAGACTGCAATTGTGTCTGATCAATGTTGTGCCAATTTCCATCGTAGTGATTGTTGTGGTACCAGTCATCTGTGACGTCGTTGTCTTCCATCTTGCCGTTGTCATAGTTGTAGATGGCCACTCTGCATTGCTTGGCCATGTGTCCTGGTTGTCCGCATCTGTAGCATACGTTTGTGGCTTGCTTTCCTTTTGTTCCTTCGCCTCCTTTGCTGTAGTTGTTGTGTCCTTTACCTTTGTGATATCCTTTCCTTTTCCTTTGTTGTTGTATCCGCCTTTGAACGGATTTCCTTGTCCTATCGGCTGGTTGTATCTGTTGTCTCCTTTGCCTCCTTTGTGATTGTTGTAGTTGCCGTAGCCGCCGTAGCCCTTTCCTCTCTTGTATTTTCCTTTGTTCTTTCCTTTTCCTTTCTTGCCCTTTCCTTTGTTGTACCATGTTGCTCCTATGTCCATTGGTGCTGGACCTTGGTTGTCACTACTCGTAGCCGCTTGTAGTTTGACGAATTGTGATGCTGCTCTGTGATACTCCACAACCAGTGATCTGATTTGTGCGTAGGTTGCGATATTGCCTGCTTGTAGTTGCAAATGCTGTTGTAGTGGACCTTTTGTCTCGTTGAGCAGGATTGCAATCTTGATTGCATCCGGTAGTCGTGTTCTGTTGTCTTGTTCGTACTTGGCGAGTTGAAACTCCCATGCTGTAAAGCCCTCTTCGAACTTGTTTTCGTCTAGTTGTGGTTTGAGTAGTTTGGTGAGGTAACCGATGCTTCTTGTACCAAGTGGCGGCGCGTAACGTAGGTGTAGTTGTCTCCATGTCTCGAAACCATTGCCGAGCATGTTCTGTCTGCATATTGTTGACGCTGCTCCGTCACATGTGTTGACGAGCAGGAAGTGTAGATCTCCGCTGAGTTGTAGCCATCGGTCTGCTGTGTCCTGATCTGGTGCGGCTTGTTCCAGCTGGTCGCTTGTGATTGCTTGTGCTGATTGCTCCGCTTGGCTCAGTAGTCTGTTGTATGATGACTCTTGCAAACCGAGGTATGCTGTCATCTTGTACTTCCATTCTTCGAATGTGGAGCACTCGCCGTTGAATCGTGGTGGTGATATTCTGTACCTGTGGACTCCTGACAGTTGCTGTTGGAGTTGTGCTTGTTGTGCGCTCCCCTGTGCCGCCATTGCCACTTACTGTGCTACTGTGTACTTAGTTTGCTTGGATCTTTCCCAGGTGTGGTGATGCTGTAGTCAGTTGTGCTCCGCTACCATGTTAAACAAAATGCTACCTGATTGCCTGAAGTGAAATACCTGTGAGATGTATCAGCGCGGCTGTAGTCACTCTATTTGTCCAGACAGATTGTAGGCTCAAGGCCTTGATTGTACAGCCACGGTGTGACCAAGCTGTACTGCCGTGACATGCTACAAGGTCGTGTATACTCTTAACATATGCATATATATATATATGCATACATGTGCATATATATATATATACATATACAAGACCCCCCCCAAACAAAAAGAAGGAACCAAAAGATTGGAAGAAAGAGAACAAAACGACTGGCCCCCCCCAAAAAAAAAAAAAAAAACGGACTGACCAACCACCGGTATTGCTTCCGAAAGACTTGAGGGAGCGGAAGAGGCAGTTGATCAGCAGCTGCAGATCCTGGGCGAAGCGCACCGCCCCCACCAGGCGTACCACCTGTCGCGCGGTTCGAGGTCTGCACCTCCCGGATCCATGTCTCTGGTCTTGTTCTATCCAATCCAGGGGGTACCGGCACCAACTCAGGACATGTCCCACCCGGGGCTTCTTCTTCTTTCTTCTTTTTCTTTTCGGTTCGGTTTTGTAGGTCAAGGGCTCGCCGCCCTTCAAAAACCAAACGAAAAATCGCGAAGGGTTGCCAGGTCCGGGATCCGCTGGGCCTTTTCTTTACACCAGAGTTGGTTGAACCAACCCCGCCAACTTGCCACTGGAACACCTGGGAACCCAAAATGACACCCATTTTGGGGGTTCAGGTGCTCACTCGACTTGCTGAGTTTCAGCAAACTCGGGCGCATTCTGCCACGGAAACCTGAAATTTGGTTGACCGGTTGAGCCGATTCAATCATTTTATGAAAACCTGGAACCAAGAAAGCCTACCCGAAAACATGTAGAGAAGCAACAGGCTGGAATGCCGCACCCATTTTGGAACTGTCCCCGAAGCTTCAACCACCTGGGTTTTGATGCTGGCTCAAAAGTCTGTTCAAGCCAGAGATGGGCAAACCCGTGGATTCAACATGCTAAAACTATCGTTTAAACCACCTTTGGGTCTGGCGTTGAAGGTACCAGTGTCTCGTTGGTGAAGCAATTCTTGCAACACCCTGGTCTAAGCGGCCTTGGAAACAGGAGCCTAGGGGCTATTGAGCTGGCAGAATTCAACTTCTTTCATGCCAAACCCCCATGGATTGAAACAGGCGTTGGTTCTTGAACCCCCCCCTTTTCGGGAAACACAAGGCCTTGCTTTGACCAAACAATTGGGGGGCCTTGATTCCCCAAACGGGGGATCAAGGGCCGAATCCTGACATTTCGGGGATTTTGATATCATGCACCTGCCACAAAAACGAGTGGTCTCCTTTGGGGCGAACTCAACGACGTCTTGTGAGAAGCTCTGTTTTCAACTATGGTTCCTCGAAAGAGGGGGGGGAAGGGAGACGGCTGGAAATTCCTCCTTCCTGCGTGGTTTGCCCCAATATGGTCTTCCCAAAAAGTTCAGCAACTGAGAAACTCGGAAAGTGAGAAACTGAGCATTGCCTTGATTAGTCACTTGGACGTGTCTGTTTTTCAGCCTTGAAGGGAAATCAAAGGGAGGCCAATTGAAAGAAGGGTTATTGATTTTGAGACAAACCCACTTGAGCAGCCCAAAACCAATTGACGTTTGGCTCTAACAACATGGCTATCAAGACTTATATAAGCCTTACTAGAGAGCCCACGAAGCCAGGCAGCGGAAGTGATCACCTAAAGTGCCCAAGAAGGATTTGTTGGGCGCTACTCACTTGTGACACACAAACATAAACAAGAACTCAACTGGCGTGCGTGGTCACAGGCCTTGATGGCCCGCAGCACCCGAATGATCCGCATCACGTCTGGGTTGGTGTTGGCCAGCCGGCCCCCTTCCTCGCAACCGACCGGGCCCCGGAGCTGCCCGGAAAGGGCCGACACGACCGACCATCCAGCCAACCAAGAAAGCAAGCAACCAAGCAAGCAAGCAAGCAGGCAGCCAGCCAGCCATCAAGTAAGCAAGCAAGCAAGCAAGCAGGCAGGCAGCCAGCCAGCCAGCCAGCCAGCAAGCAAGCAAGCAGCCAGCCAGCCAGCAAGCAAGCAAAACTAAAAGGAACGCCACCCTTTTTGGAGGTCCAACCTTAAAAGACGAGGCACCCCAAAATACGAAACATCCCTACAGAAAGCTTAACGGCCCAGCTTTCCGAAGTCTCCCCGGTTCTGTGCTTGCAAGTCGGTCACTTCCCCAGTCAAGTTCAAGGCACGTTTTCTTTTCAAGCCAAGCAACCCCTTCAAAGTCAGAAGAAGGGGGCCCGAAACACCTGCTATTGCCTCAAGGATAGGTCCCTGCTACCTGCTCTGATGCAAGAATGGTCCAGTTGCATATGGAGATAAGGCGCAGAGTTTGGCTTAGAACCAAATGAGTGCGCACGCAAAGACCACAAACCAGCAAGCGTGGAGCAGAGCTCTGCGCCAATACAAGTTTGCATCAGGCTTGAGCCAAATAGCCGTCCCTAATGCATCTTCTTGCTGCTGCTCAGTAGGGAATGTGAGAATAAACCGTTTCGAAGGACCCCACTCGTTTTTATGGTTGTTTCGGGTCATTCCATTTCTCATTCCCTGCATCTCTCGGGGGTGACTTTCCAAATTTGGCTTTCAAAAGGAAGCTTTCCAAAATCCCCAGACCACCAAATCCAAACCACCAAAGGGGAAGCTGTGCAGCTGAGAGTCCGCTTCCGCGATGAGGAGCAAGATCTCCTCGGTCATATGCGCGCTGACCAGCAGCATGTCCATAACCTCAAGCGGAGGGGGAAGACGATTTTCTCGGAGGGTGCCGGGTGCAACCTGCACGCCAAACATCGCTTTCCAATTTGCGTCTGAAACAAACAACAAGTCACACGCAAACATATGTATATATAAATATGTATATGCTTACCCCCTCACATACTTTGTCAGGCAAGCGCCCAAGCAAAATGCCTTTGATACCCATTGAACGCTCCAACCAATGCGAGTCAGCCCCCACTTCTCGCTTCCGTGGCTTCCTGTCGTCTCCGACTTCCGACTTCCGACTTCCCGACCCCCGACTGGTCAGCTCGGTAGGACGCGAGGCGTTCCAGGCGCAGCCGTTCATGGTGAAGAAGCGGCGCCCGAAACACACCAGCCGAAGTATTAGCTCGATGCTGAAGAAAACGCCTCGAAATGCCCAAGTATTTCAGCGGGTCATCACAAAATGCCAGATCTCACATCCGTGGATAACCAGAAAAAGTCCAAAACTATTGCTTGCCACTACAGAAACTCATGAAGTGAGCAACGTTGCCCTAGTCGACATAGGAGAATGTGAGAGCCCGTTTTTCTTGTAGGTTTTGTTCAGATAGTTGCCCTCACATGGCCCTCACATGGCCCTCGATTGGCCCAGACTCGCATGTTCTCAAATCAACTTCTGCGGGGGTTGTGAAAAGTCCACATCTCTAGAGGGTATTTGGCCAAACCGTCCGCGCCACATTCAACAAGTCACAGGATAGTCCCTGATGTTGGCCACGTTAAGCCCTGTAAACCTCAGGATGGGGATGTACGTCCAACCATTTTGGAGGGCGCTGGAAAGGCCATCCGAAAATCTTGCATCACCATCACCTCACCCAAACGGCGACACTTGAAACCAAAGGGGAAAGTATCGAGAACCCTGCCTTGCAAACAAAAAAAGCGCGGCACCACCACAACGGGAAACTCATACCGGCACTTGGGGTGACGTTCTTCACCCGAAAAAAGGAGAAAAAAAAAAGAAGAAAAAAAAACGCCACCGAGGCGCAGAAGAGGAGGTCGGTGATCCTCAGACCGAAGGGCACCGAAGAGCTGTTGTTGATGGCCATGTAGTCCGTCTGCACCCCGATCAGAACGGCATTGGCCATCAGCAGGATCCTCCCAAAAACAAACCAACAAAGACATTCAAGCAAAGAAACATGCAAAGAAGCTGCCAAAAACATGGTAATGCAAAGATTAACATAAGTGCGCCAGCAGGTAAATAAACAAATAATGTATCGAGCTGGACGCCGAATGCAGACGGAAGCTCCACATGCAGACGGCAGAGGTAGCAAGTGGAGAAACGTGCTGGATTGAAAATTTTGGAAGCCCTAAACTTGGTTGCTGCAGGGACCCCCTTGCAAAAAGTTTTGAACTTTTTGTGGGTTTAGTGGAAAACACATTTATTTCAACCAAAAAGTTAAAGTCTAAAGATCCAACCCAATAGCAGTTCAGTAAAGTAAACCAATAAGACAAGGGCGCCACTGTAACTCGGTTTGTGTCGTTTGTGGTGCTTGACTTGCATCCCCGATGCATTTCAAGCGTGCAACAGTCGAGGCGTAAGCAACCTTGGTCCCCTCCTCCACCCCCACCCCCCCACCCACTCAGCACCATGGGACAGGGCTCAGACTTCATGTGGTGCTTGCGTCTCTTGCAGGGCGCTGTGCCTTTGGCTCACTTGCTTCTTGAAATTCAGGTGTTCCTGTTCTTGATGTCTTCCTTCGCGCGTTATCTTGTCTTTGCAGATGTTCCTGGGCTCAAATTTCTTTGTTTCTGCAAAACGCCAACCGTCTGCCTTTGTTTCCGGACCTTCAACCCGAAGCGGCGCTTTTTTCCCCAAGGCTCATGGACAGGGACTCGAACCACATGGCGCCAACTAGGCCCATCAGCTTCCGCTGGATCCAGGAGGTCCTCAGCTTAAAAAAAAAAACGCAAAAAACACCAGCATAGACCCCAGATAGCGAAACGTGTGCCAACGATAGTACGCCAGCACCTCTAACAGCACTGCCCGAAGAGCACCTCAACCAACACCAAACAGCATCCCAAAAATATTGTAGCACCTGCACAAGAATCCCCAAATTGCATGCCCCCTAGCACCCTGCCGTCAATCTCGCAGCAACACCCCTGGCCGTGACCAGGCCCCCAAAAACAGCACCTGCACCAGCCGTCAATCTCGCAAAACGCCACGCTCGTCACCAGCCCCTCAACACCATCCGACCATCACCCGGAACAGCACCCCCAAACGGCACTCCCAAACCACCCGGCCGTCAATCTCGCAAATATGTACTCGCACCGTCACCAGCACCTCATCTCAAAACACCACCTGCACCAGCACCCCAGACTGCATGCCCCCTAGCACCCTACCGTCGATCTTGCAAAAGTATGCCCGCACCGTCACCTGCACCCCCCAAAACAGCACCTGCACCAGCACCCAAGCTGCATGCCCTAGCACCCTGCCATTAATCCAAACAAACTGCGCCCGCACCATCACCAGCAGCTCAAACAGCACCCTAAACAGCACCTACACCAAAACCCCAAACTGCATGCCCCCTAGCACCCAGCCGTCAATCTCGCAAATCACTTTCCCTTCTTTATTAGAAGTTAGAACCCCTGAAGCTTTCAGCTATCCGGGGAAAAACGCCTTCCCCTTTCACAGGGCTGTGGTTGAAACGGAATCCACAAATCTGTGAGGAGTCCACGAATCTGTGAGGAGTCCACGAACTGTGAGGAGTCCACGAATCTGTGAGGAGTCCACGAATCTGTGAGGAGTCCACGAATCTGTGAGGAGTCCGAGAATCTATAATACAAAAAGGGCCCCCCAACGACTAACCCCCCAGGGGGAGATTCCCACGAGTATCGCAGAAGTGGCTGGATAAAGCCCTTGATCCCACAACCCCCTTTCAGGACACGGGAGAAGAAAAAAAAGCCAGCCTGGTTGTGGTTGGAACTTTAGTGAGATACCTGTCCCAAAATGGACCAAAGAAGACTGAACCGATGAACCAAGTAGAGCGGTACCACGTACTATTGCCAACAGGAATCAATTTTGAGTTTGGGCGCTACTCATGTCGGGCAATAAGCAAGGCCTCTCAATTGTGAAAAGACCTGACTCCCGAAAGCATTCAGAAGCTCTGACAGGCAGGGGTCTCCGATCTGGTCGTGAAGAACGAGGCTCAAGTGGCAAACCCCACTGACCCTCTACAAGAACGAGGGCTTCAAATCCGAATCCCGACCACCAAAGTGTTGCCTGCAAAAAGAAAACTCACAAACTGCCAACGGCAAAAATATCGCAATTGCCCCACCCCCCCCCTCCCCCTCCCCCCCCCCTCCCCCTCCCCCCCCCCCCACCCTCCTACCCCCCACCCCCCTACCCCCCCAAAAAAAGGCACCCCCGTTGCCTTGAGCCCGGGGCATCCGGTTCAGCTTTCTCCTCAGCCCTTCCGGTTGAAGCAGCTCCCAAAAAAGACGTTGATTTAAGTTCGGCGTCTGCAAATAAAGCCACTTGGGTGCGGCTCAAAATTAGAAAGCTGGGGCTACGCAGGTGTTAGTCTTTGGTTCCATTTACCAAGGTGCCATTTTGGTGCATTTTTGTCTGCCACAGCCGCTTTGGAGGAGACCCCAGTCGTCGCGAAGAAAAAATACCATCGCCAGGGTGCTGTTTCAGGTCCAAGGAGGTCATGGATCCACCCCTGTGCAGTGAGAAGGCCTCCCGAGTCGGTGCGCCTTTTCTTGGGCGACCCTTGGGATTCGAGACCAAGACTCAGATGCCCAGCGGCCATGGGAAAAAGCATCCTTTTTTGGTTGACTCCAAAGGCAAACAAACCCTTCCTAAAAAAGAAAAGGGAAAAAAATCGGCACCGCTGGGCAACGAAAAAAGGAAGCAACGACCCCCCCTTCTGAGACACCGAAAAATGTCAACCTCGCCAGTCTTGGTTCTTCGGGGATCCAACACTTAGAGCCTGACCAAAGACCCCAAAGCTTTCGGCGGCAGGGGGCAAAAACGTCGCTTGGGCAAATGGCCATGGGTCAAAATCCCGTACCCCCAGTGAACATCCCAATCCCCACTAAAATAAGTTCTAAAATGGGTGGTGCACCTACCCCAAAATGGTACCATTGGTTTTGACCCACAGCCAAATCCCCCTTAAACCACATCCCACAACACTACTTGGGACTTCGGCCAAGCAGTGACCACCTTTTTCAGTCAGCCTAAGTAGAGACCCTGATATTGCTCGCTCGCCCACGTCTCACTTGCCCAAAGGACCTGGAAAGAAAAGGTTAACCTTTTGAGACCTCTACTAAAAATGGACCAAAAAGGAAAAACCAAGAGGTCAAAGGGTCGGCTTTGAACAACTGAGAAGCGGCTGACACTTGGAACATCAAAAAAAGGCATCGTCCGCCAACTCGAATTGGCCTTCTCCGTCATCGAGGCTCCCCGGCTCGACCGGCTCGGCGACACCCTCTCGCCGGGAGAGAGCTGGGAGCCGTTCAGCATGGGCCTCAGCTTCTGATGGGCTTCACCCACAGGGAACTCAACGGAAACCACCGCAGTTGAGTCTGGTGACGTTTTTGAGGGCTCCCCCCTTTTTGTGTGGTATTAAATTGCAACCAAGAGAGAAAAAAAAAATGCAGGGCTCCCCCAGTTTGAGACAAAAGTCGTTTGGCAATTGTGTAGCGTGATTCAAAGGAAGATCAGCCCCGTTCCAAGAAACGGATAGAGCTAGACATCTGGGTCCTGCCTAACTCCACACAATATCCTTTGCCGATATCTTTCTTGACTGTGGATCTACCTGTCCTGAGCACTGAACACTCAGTTCTTGATCTGTGGGGAAAAAATACTTTCCGAGACGTGGTAGAGTGGCTGGCCCAAAGAAGTTGGACAAGTCAGGGACAAGGGGAAGGAACCCTTTACTGCAGGGTGTTCCGACTGGCACAAAGAAACCTGCTTATGTTCGTACGAAAGCACGAGCATTGGTCCATCCCCCGCAAGTTCAGAAAAGCAAGGGGCTGGTCTGAGGTGACTTGGCCCTGCGATTGGGCAGTTGGTTGTTTCAGGCGGTTTGTATAACATCTGTCAGCCAGCTCCTAGCCGCGCTCGAAGCAAGCAACGCAACACTGGATCAAGGATCTTGAAAGATTCTGACTGGTACCCAATAGAGCAAACTTGTAATTTCATCCTCAAACTTGTTGGCCTCCCTTTCGGGAGGCGTGTCTTTCCCGACCCGGGGTGTACCAGATGTTCGAAAACCGCTCCGCTGAAATCGCATTGTGTTTTGGTAGACCGATCTGCTGAATCTCCACAAAGAAGCCGCATGGAACCCCTCGCCATGTTGGGGGGCCCCCAAGCCCAGCACCTCCGCCCACTTTTTCCGAGAAAAACCCGAGCCGCGTGGGATCGCCCTCAGGAGGCTCCTCAGGCAAGAAAATTCAGGCCGCGGAACCGTGTTCCCTAAATGATACATCCTCAAGCACTGGGTTGACGTTGGAAGGGGAGAACACAAATTTGATTTTTAGCAGTTCAGTGGAAATTCCCACTAAACCACAATAAGCAAAAATGTAAAATGTGTCCCAACAACAATCATGAAGCCGCCTGATTGACAAGGGGATCCTCTAAAGAAGCTGGTCAAGATGACTTTTGACAAGCCCGCATGTATCCTTCAGGGGATGCCGACGTGGCCCGTTGGGAAACACGCTGCTTCAACATCTCCATAACTTTGCCACTTCAATTGGAGGCTTTGTACTGAGCAGGTCCTCCAGTAGAGAGGATAGAACAAGGGTACCCTTTTTTCTGTAGTCTATTTTAGTAGGGGAACCCTCCCAACCAAAAAAGGGTGAAGAAGGGCACTACTGGGGGACCTAGGAGCAGGAGTCAAACCCTCATTTCCCACAACTACGCTGCCCTTCACAAGGATTGACCAAAAGGTCAAATTGACGCGGATGGTGCGAGAGCATGCCTGTGCTTGAACACGTGCTTCCCAAAAATAGGAAACCCATCGATTCAGAATTTCTTTGGCTCGCCGAAGAGCCCGAATCCGGCATCCCCAACTTTAGGACACCCCATACATGAGCCACACCAGTTGCCCGCAACGGGTTTAGAAACATGGTTGCCCTCAAATAAACAAACCCGTCCTATTAATACCCGACTAAAAGTGGACCACTCACAAATAAGGTCTGTACCCGTTTTTAGTTGGTTTTGAAGGAATTCCACAGGAAAGCCACCAGTCTAGGGGCCCTAAGAAAGGACAAAGCTGTATTCATCCAAAGGTTTAGGAAAAATGTCGGGAGCGCCCAGGCCTGGGAAATCAGAACCCCCTCCCCCTTTTCCCCAGAGACCCAACCCAGACTCGCCAAGTTTCTGACACAGCCTTTTCCGAGAGCAAATTGCCACAAAGCCACGCCAAGTTTCATGAAACTTGGACCCAGCCAGCGAAAAAAAAAAGAAGAAACAAAAACTCAGTGTGACCCCGATCTTGGGTTGATTCATTGGCTCCTCTCTGGGCTCGCTTGGCAGGTGCTCTTACATCCATGCCCGACTTGCCGGGGCCTGGCTCCTTTGACTGAAAAGGCCAAGGTGCTATGCGATGCCCGCTCTCCTCCGGCGAAAAGGGGTGAAGCCCAAGCTCGAATCGGGGAAAATATAGGTGTTGGAGCCGCGTACATGGATCAGAATAAACCAAAACTATGCCCTTTTCGTTGTCCGAAAACCGCCTTTCACAAACAGGGGCGAGGAGCCCCGTGTCCTTTGCAACCCCGCCGAGCGATCTCTTGCTTTTCGGATTGCTTGGCCCTCTGGACGCACGATATAACTCTTTGAAAGAAACGATGGTGGTCAGACTGTGCCTTCAAAGGCTGTGGCACGCCCCAACCCCTTTGGTGTCCTGACGACATCTTAAAGCTCAAAGCAATTCTGCGGTGCAAATATGTTTGGAGAAGAGAGCAACATGGATGAACAACCCCCCCCCCCCCCCCCACAAACCCACAAACCCACAACCCTCCCCAACCCTCCCCCAACCCTCCCCCAACCTCCCCCAACCTCCCCCAACCCTCCCCCCACCTCCCCCCACCTCCCCCCACCTCCCCCCACCTCCCCCCACCTCCCCCCACCTCCCCCCACCTCCCCCTCCCCCACCTCCCCCCACCTCCCCCCACCTCCCCCCACCTCCCCCCACCTCCCCCCACCTCCCCCCACCTCCCCCCACCTCCCCCCACCTCCCCACCTCCCCCCACCTCCCCCCACCTCCCCCACCTCCCCCCACCTCCCCCCACCTCCCCCCACCTCCCCCCACCCGAGCCATCGATCCTCCGAGTGGTTGGCCTCCTTGCCAGTCGAGGCCTCCGACTTCGCCACGGAGCGCAAGGCCTGCTGCACCTCCTCCCACCGCGAAAAGCGCCGCGAAAAGCGCCCAAAAACCCAAAACCTGGGGAGGCCTCGACTCCCGGCGGCCAAAAAAAGTTTAACCACCCCTCTGCAAAAAAAAGAGAAGAAAACAAAACATACACTCCCAGCCTGCTCACGTGGAACCTGACCTTTGGGGGGTCCTGG